CTCTGAGAGGGATGGAGGAATCGAACCCAGGTCGTCTGCATGCAAGGCAAACACCCTACCTGCTAAATTTATAAAACATTATTCAAAGCTGTTTCTTTTTTTATTTACTTCTTTGGGGAGGAGTGGGAGTAGGGAACACCTCACAGTGCTCAGGCCTTACTCCCAGTTCAGAGATCACTCCTTGTGTTGCTTTTCAGTGCCGGGGATTGTACCTGGATCTGCTGCATACAAGGCAAGTGCCTTAACTCTGGTAGTGTCTCTCCAGTCCCAAAGATATTTCACGTGGGATGCATATAAAGTGCTCTTAGTTCAAATGTTTAGAAAGAGCTTCAACAACTATTGTACCTAAATATACTACCTGAAATTTTAGTATAAAAATATGACTCCACTTAGTTATAGTGCTGTGTAACTGTCCACTTTCTACAGAAAAGTGTATATAAATATTTAAGTCAAAATTAGTTTTTCCTCTGGGTAGCAATTGTAAAAACTGTAATGAATATTTTTTGTTTGTTTGGTTGTTTTTTTGTTTGGGGGCTATAACCAGCAATATTCAGAGGTTACCCCTGGCTCTGCACTCAGGATTTATTCATGGCAGGGCTCAGTGAAACTTACGGGACATTGGAAATTGAACACAAGTTGGCCTTGTGCAAGGAAAGTACCCTGTCTGCTGCACTGTCTCTCTGACCCTGTAGTGAGTATTTTAATCAGTACGAAATTCAGCATTTTATTTTATTTTATTTTTTATTTATAGCACAGCGGTAGGGCGTTTGCCTTGCATGCAGCCAACATGGCCGACCCGAGTTCGATTCCTCCGCTCCTCTCGGAGAACCCGGCAAGCTACCGAGAATATCTCGCCCACACGGCAGAGCCTGGCAAGCCACCCGTGATGTATTCGATATGCCAAACACAGTAACAACAAAATCTCCAATGGAGATGTTACTGGGCCCGCTCGAGCAAATCGATGAACAATGGGAGGGCCTTTACCTTACCTTTTTAATCACCATGAGAACAGTTGCAAAGCTTTCAGGTTTAAGTGTCGGTAATACAATGATCAAACACATCCCTTCACCACAGCACATTTTCCACCACCAAGAACCCCAATATACCCCCCATCCCACCCCTCTCCCTGCCTGTGAGGCAGATGGTTTCCACTTAACTCTCTCTCTACTTTGATTACACTCATCATTTTAACAAAAGATGCACCATTATTATTTGGAATTTTCCCCCAACATTCAGACCTGTTGAAAAGGCATCATTAATTTGTTTTCTATTGCTGGTTATGAGGAGCATATGACATCACGTGGCCGCTATTAGATTTCTGATATTTTACCAATTAAGTCTGGAGAGATTTCTGACAGAAGCCGCTGGGTTCTGAATTGGGTTCGTGTGCCTCTGGGGCCGTGGCCATGCTGGAGAGCCGCTTGTGGAGGGCAACTTGTGGTCTCAGTGTGAGAGGAAGAACGGGCTGGTTCCACCCTCCCCATCCCATGAGACCGCAGTTGTCCCGTCACTGCCAGCTCATACCTGGCTGTCCAATAGGCTCTGAGGTGTCAGTCACCATGCTGCCCGGGGGTAGAAAGGAGGAAGGGACAGACACGCTTCCTCTCCCCTACCCCGGGTAGGGCACTGCACCAAAATTCAGTATTTTAAATCAATCAGCATTTACAAAAACTATATTTAGGTACTGTGATTTATAAAAATATTAATAACAAGAGTTTAAAGTGTTCCAATACCCAGCCAACCAGTACCCTTCCACCAATGTTCCAAGGTTACCTTCCAAAACACAACCACTTCCTTAGCAAACCCATTGTTTTGATTTCATTGTTATAGTTTGGTTCAAATATTTTTGATAGTGTTGCCTCTTGTATTTTTGATGTTTACGATCACCTCACCCCTACACCATCAAAATGTCCAAGGCCCCTGTTCCTATATTACAAACATTCCACCCTCATTCCCACACAGTCCCCACGTCCTCAGCATTTTAATTTCTTTAATCCAGGGCCAAGAGTTTGCCCATGTTTGACACCTTCTATTGCCTTATCTTGTTACTCTGTATACCAGCAGTGAATATTCTTCGAGGAATTTTCCAAGTTCTGCCTTTATATCTTGAACCTTTTGAAGTCTAACTCTAGTTAGAAAAGATTGGTGAGCGTTTCTATCAAGTGATACTTTACTGACCTGTCCAGCCACATGCTCCAAAATATTGGAACAAACGTCATATAGAAATGACACAAGGTATGGAGAATGGTGAATTTTATAAGATAGTCTTTTTGGATTCTTAATTTTTAATTTGGAGATTCTCAGAATTATCTGCTGACTTGTACACGGAAAGCAGAATAGACAGAGAATTTGGATTGAAGCAAGCAGAACATGCCCAGAAGTGTGTCCTGAAATCTGTCCTAAAACACAGACAGTGACGGCCTTAACATGATAAGGCGTTTTTTGACAAGTGGACAGACAACTGTGGCTTACCCTTGCTAACAATCATTGCATGACCAGCTCTTAGAACAAGCTGTGACATAATCTAGCATCATGATATTAGAGAGTGTTGTATTATCTTTGCAGGACCCACTACCATCAATCACTGCAGCAACTCTACCCTCATTAACAACCAACTATGTAGGTTTTGCAATCTCTATAAGCACAGTAATAGTGGTTTTCTTCGTGTATTCATCTTTGACCTTCAGACAAACATAACTTGAAAAACAAAGCTCAGCTTTAACTTCCTGATGCACAGAATATTGTTTTGCAATCCATATGGAACGCATCCATGCTAAAGGAATAGATGCTTTCCTTTAACATCAGGATTCCGGACGACTTGGAGTAAGTGATCAGTTACTTCTGCACCTATGACTGTTTGTGCTAACCTCAGAGAATGAGGTGAAGCATTACTCAGATCTGAAGCCGGCAATCCTTTGCAACAATGTCTGGCGCCTGAATGCAGAGTGCTAAAAAGGCAGTGTTTTTACATCCACCACAGTAAGTGACAGTTCTTCATTCTGTCCTGCGATATATCCAAATGTACAGGCTGAAACTGCTTGGCTCTGGTCAGATTCTCCCAAGCAGATCACCATTTGTTTCCTTCAGTGCCTCACTCTCTCAACTACTCCCTCGATTTGCTTCCAACCCAAAGGCAGCTGCTTTCTTGGGAAAGTGTTCCTGTGGAAAAATATTCCTGTTCTTCCGAGGAATGAACAAGTTATGCAAGAACATAATTTCTTCAATTCTGCCTCTACTGAGTTATCCTTTTGATTAACCTGTCCCATGAAGATCCTGGAAACAACTTGAGTGCCTGAAAACAGATGAATGAATAAAAAAACTAAGGCACGTGTACACAATGGAATACTATGTAGCTGTCAGGAAAAATGGAGTAATGAAATTTTTCTATAAATGGATGGCCATGGAGAGTATCATGCTGAGTGAAATGAGTCAGAAGGAGAGGGACAGATACAGAAAGACTGCATTCATTTGTGGTATATGAGAAATATATATATATGCATATATATGTGTGCATATATATGTATATGTCGTAGAGGAATAATATCCATGGTCAAGTAAAATGGGTTAGGAAGACTGGTCAGTGGTTGGAACTAACTACAAGTGAGCATGGGACTGTGGGTGGGTAAGATAGAGAAGAGACCGCTATGACAATAATATCTGGGAATGATCACGCTGCACAGGTCTGAGGGTTAAAATTAGGTAAGGGATATTATAGATAACCTTTCAGTATCAATATTGTAAATCATAGTGTCCAAAGGGGGGAGAAGGAAGAGAGAGAGAGAGGAGAGGGGGGAGAGAGAGAGAAAGAGAGAAGAAAAGTGCCTGCCATAGACGCAGGCAGGGGATAGTGGATGGGGGTGATGGGAGGGAACCTGGGGACACTGGTGCTGGAAAATGTATACTGGTGCATGGGTGGGTGTTGGAATACTGTATGACTGAAGTCCAATCATGAACAGCTTGTTAAAAAAAAAGATCCTGATCCAACATCAGTTGACTTGGGACCATATGGAAAAAAGAAGCCTTGGGAAAGATATTATCCCTATTTTTGTAATGTTTCTATGTTTTGGTTTCTGCCACATGGGTCCAGACATTCTGATATTGCTCAAACCCTTGCAGTATCTGAGTCTTTACTGTGATGCCAGGAGTTCTCTGCCTACACAAATAAGCTGAAAGGAAGTGAGGCTGTTGCTCAGCTGCCAGCCTGAGAAGCTGCACAAGCATTGTCTGAGGCAAAGACTGAGTCCCCAACAGTATTTTGTTCCATTCATTCATCTACTTATTATGCAAGTCTGTTTTCTCTCGCTTACACTTAAATGGAATTAGCGTTGTCTTTTTTTATTTTATATTTAAAAATCACATTTTTAAATATGTGCAATTTTTTTTAAAAAATGAAGAAATGGGAGCAGGGAAATAGAGTAAGCTTGGGTTCAGTTTCTCCTGCGCATTGCTAGGGATAAACTTGGAAGCACTGCAGCATTGCTGGGTGTGTGCATGTGGTCCTGGTGGTCCCCAGCACCTGAGACAACCTAGGTGGCAGAAGCACCTTGATCCTAGCAACTTAACATCTAGCCAGTTGACTGAGCATCTCTGGGAATGCCCCCATCCCTTTGAGCATCATTTAGGAGAGCCCAGCCCCCCCAAACACACACACACACAAAGAAAATAAAAAAAAATGTTCATTATGAACTTTTAAATCATTTCAAAGTCCCAATTGCTTTAATAATTCTTAAGAAAAAAATGTGTTTGAGGGGCCAGAGATAGTACAATGGGTCTTGCTTGTGGCTGATACTGGTTTGTTCCCTGGCATCCTATATGGTCTCCCTGCACTCAGAGTCTGTAATAAACCCTGAGCACTGATGTTTGTGACCTCCAACAAAAAACGAGACCAAAAAAGAAAAAATGGGCTTTAGTAGGTGGTTCCTCTGGAGTATTTGTTTTGAAGGAGGATAGATAGGATTATTGTGAGCTAAACTTCTATTTATCTATTCATAATTCAACAGTTGCATAAACTGACCAGATCTTTAAAAGAGATTTCTCGTGCTATCCACCTTCAGCCAGATGAAGTTCAATTATATATAATAAGGTATGGACATAAAAATATAATTCTTCTTGAGATAACATCTGAGATAACTCTTGGCTATGTTTAGTATTTTCTTGTTCCGTGGGTTATATTTAATATTCCAACAGTGGACATCTTCCAACCAGTATATCAGATATAGTTTACAATTTTTGTTGACATTTAAGACATTTTATAATATAAGGTACCTCATATTTTCCTTTACTCTGATGTCACATTAAAATACAACTCTTAAGTGTTTTAGAGACAATTCTTTGAGTTCCCCTAGATTACTGATCATGGAGTTGTTATATACTTTACAAATGTAAGAATAAATATTTTGAACACATTTTGTATGCACAGAATTACTAATATAAACCTCAGTAATTCAGTGGAAAAATTTGATACAATGAATTATATTTCAAGTGTAGTTCAATTTTCTCTTAAGGAGCCCATGGAAAGTGATGAGTTTTCAAGAGCAAAAATTTTAGAATCTTTAACATGGGTTTTTAACATGGGACACAGGAAGGTGGACAGGAAAAATTATTTTGATAAAGAATCCTTGTATTTTATCTCTTGATCTACATTTCAGCAATTTATATAAATAATTTCCCCCTTTTTGCCGTGTGATCTGGATTTGTCTTTTAATAATTTTTTTATTAACATAGCATTTCAAATACAGACTATTAAAAGTAGATTTGAACATTTTCTTTCAAACTTCATATTTCCTAAATAGTTTTCTCCTTACATGTATATGCTAATTGATATTGATAGACCAAATAAAATGTATAGAATTTTCATTGTTTTTATCATGCATATGTAGGTATGAATAAATTTTTATAATTGCAAAAACGTTAAAGTACATAAGAAACTATTTAAAAATTATTGTAAATGCTTTGGTTTACAAAGGTATTATTTTTTTCAGAGGACAATATCTTGTTAAGATGAAATGTTATGATCTTGCAAAGTTCACTATTCAACAAGTAACGGAAATGAATAAAGGTAAATATAATTAATGCAAAATTATAATTGTCTTAACTTGACAAGAAAGACTTATTAAAGTTTTGTATTTTATTTTCAGATATTGATTGCATAAAGGATTTATTTGAAAGAGTTTTGCAATTTAAAGCTTCAGTTTTACATATAATCAGCTAGTATTAAGCTTCATACAAGTGAATTTTGTGAAAAATATTATGGGAAATGAAGACCTTTTATTACTTTGAAATTGGGATATCATAGTGATAGTAAATAGATTTTAGTGTCATATTGATTTGTAAATTCATGTTATAGATTGTTGAATTGCTTGACTTACTTTGAGTAATTATTTTATTGATCCTAACTACTCAACAAAAGTATTGATAAACTTTTCTTTTTCTTTTAGGTCTCGTTAACCTAAGTCCTCTACAGAAAGCACTAGTTTATTCATTTTGTGACAAGTATGACAAGGCCATTCAGGTCTTGGATGGAATTACTTTGCAGAAGCCAGAGATAACTACATATACCTTATTAGCAAAAACCCTAATGAAGGCCAAGAGAAATAAGGTGAATAGTAGTGAGTAACATTTAATAAACTTGTTAATGGTATTTTACAATGTGTTTAAGATAAATGCTAAAATATTTTAAAAACAAAATTAAATTATACTGTGTACTTACTGGGCTGGAGCAATGGCACAGTGGGTAGGGCATTTGCCTTGCACGCGGCCGACCCAGCCGACCCAGATTTGATTCCTCTGCCCCTCTCGGAGAGCCAGGGAAGCTACCAAGAGTATCTCGCCTGCACGGGAAAGCCTGGCAAGCTCCCGTGATGTATTCGATATGCCAAACGCAGTAACAGTGTCACAATGGAGACGCTATTGGGCCCGCTCGAGTAAATCGATGAACAACGGGAGGACAGTGACAGTGTACTTACTGATTCCTCTATTAACAGTGAGTTTTCTTCCTTTTTTCTTTTTTTTAGAAAAGGACTGTTACATGTATTCTTTTTAACATCGCCTGTTAGCATGAGGATTGATTTTTTCAGGATATACTTATATAAGTAGAAGTACTGATATGTGAATATTAACTTTCAAGAAAATGTACCTTTGTATGCACCATTTTTTTCTTTTATCATCTGTTTGGTTTCCTTTTTCTACAATAATTGGTGTCATATTAATTGCTATTAATTAATACATAAAAGCATGTCTCATGTGGTCTTAATTTGCATTTATTGAGTGTAGGTTGAACAACTCTTTATATTCTTATTCATCACCTGTATTTTCTGTTCTATCACATTTTGGTACACTCATTTTTGTTTGTCTTATTTCTATCAGTTTTAGGTACTTAAAATATGTTTTGTATACTATTCCATGGCTGGTTGAATGTGTGCCACACATCTTAAAATGTGTAGTTGGTCTTTTGGTAATTTTTGTCATGTTTTTTGAAGAACGGAGATTTTTAATTTTAATGTCATCAAATATATTCATGTTTTGTTTTATTTCCATTGCTTTCAAAATGTTTTGTTTAATTCCTCAATAATACTGCTTGTACCTGAGCACCAGTAGGTATGTCTCCAGAAGTGGCTACCTAAATGTTCCTCTATCATATTTTGAAAAGTTCTTCTTTATCCAAAGATCGTAAAAGTTTTGATACATATGTGAACATGATTTGAGACATTTTATTAGCCAGTTTTCTATCCTGGTCTGAAGTGCAGTGTCTTCTTTTCTATAGTTTTTTTTTATATATATATATTTCTACGTGACAGTGAATAGAACATGTTCCATCTTTCCAAGACATTCATAGTTCTCTGACAGCCATAATTTGTCCATTGTACTGTTTAAATTCATTTCATCAAGATCCATTTAAAAACCCTATCTGAAGTTGTTTTAAATTTCTAGATTATTTTATGAAGAACTGACACCTTTATGGTATTAAATTCCTTAAAGGAATACTTCGATATACTCAAACCATTCTCCCTCCCATTTTCCATCCTGACTCTATAGAAACTTAGGATCACCTTTGATTGCCCTCTATTTTTAAACAGCACTTAGGTTTTTTTTACTTATACACGTGAGTATTGTCTAAAATATGTCTTTGTAGCAGCTCGGGCCTGCCACCAGTGTGCTTGGCTAAGTTCACAAATCTTTTGTAACCTGTAGCTTCCCTGTCACTTTTCTGGCTCTCCTCTCCTACTAAACTTTATTTCCTGGCAGTTAAAACCATCTGCATATCTACTGCTGCTCCTAAAACCACCATAGCCACCTTGGTTTTGTGGTTTGGCAAAGTATTGATCAGCACCACCATAGGGACCTGAACTTTGGTATCCAACACTTCTTCCATTTATGGGCCCAGAATTTGAAGACTGACTGTTGTTGTTGCCAAAATTATTGTAGTTTCCAGCAACTCCAGATTTCTATTGTTGCCAAATCCATTATAACCATCCTTTCTGCCACTATATCCAATCACCATCTCAGCTGCCACCAAAACCACCGAGTCCACTGATATTTCCTCTATGACCAAAGTTCCCACCAAAACCACCTCCACAAGCACCACCAAAGTTTCCAGAGCAACTTCAACCTCTGTGGCTGGATGGCCATCTCTTGCTTCGATAGAGCATTGCTTAATTCACATCTGTAGCTATTAATAGTAGGGTATTTCTGAATAACAGTCTTGTCCACAGAATCATGGTCATCAAGGATCACTAAAGCAAAGTATCTTCTTGCCACTCTCTTTTTCAGTCATGTTTTCAATCACCTCAGTTTCCCCCTAGTATTAAACATAATCTATTAGATGATGTTCTTCTGTGCATTCTTTAATGCCACAAATAAAAATCTTTTCACAGTTAAGTGGGTACCAGGTCTTTGAGAATATTGTCAGCCCTTTTTGGTTTCACAGCTCTTCTGTTCACCTAATATGGTCTTGCATTCGTGGCTGCAACCACTTCCTTCACTGTGGCTTATGTGACAAACCAAAGCCTTAGAAGCATTTGGTGTTGGACTCTTTCGTTACTCTGCAACCTGTGAGCATGCCCCATTGCTCAAAATAGTTTCTCAGACTTTCATCAGTGTTTCAAAGCTTCTCCTTACCATGAAGAGCTTCCATAACTGTTCAGACTTTTTAAAAAAATTTTTTATTTTATTTATTTATTTTTGCTTTTTGGGTCACACCCAGCGATGCACAGGGGTTACTCCTGGTTCATGCACTCAGGAATTACTCCTGGCCATGCTCGGGGGACCACATGGGATGCTGGGAATTGAACCCGGGTCGTCCATGGGCAAGGCAAATGCCCTACCCACTGTGCTATCACTCCAGCCCCTGTTCAGACTTTTTAGAGAACTCTTACTTAAGACAGCTGCAGGAAAGGAAACCTTGATAGTGCTTACTCACAGCATCATCGAGGAGAAAGGAGTAGCCTGAAGAATGTATCTCTGATTGCCCTTTTTCTACCCAGTCCATAGAGAAGTTCTTTTGTTTCTAAACAGCTCTAAAGTTTCCATTACTTTGACTAAATAATTACATGTACAATTTTTGTGTGTGTGTTTGGGGGGGGGGGCTTTGGATGCTTGAGGTCAACCTAGCAGTGGTCAGAGATTAATCTTGGCTCTGTGCTCAGGGATCCCTCCTGATAGTGCACAGCACATATGTGGTGTCAGGGAAAAAACCAGGATGGCCACATTCAAGGCAAGCACCTAACCCCTGTAATAATATCTTTGGTTCCTAAGTGTGCAATTTTTCACATTACTTCTATGCTGATGGAACCCCATTAAGGAAACATCAGAACAAAATAATGGTTGAATAAAATCATATTAGACATGTTCTCATCATTGGAAATCTGTTACTTTCTAATAGCTGCCAGATAGTTCCTTCAGGAAATGAATTAAAAAATGGGTCATACAATGATTGAGTACCCATCCCTCCACCATTGTATGACTGAAACGCAAGTGTGAAAGTTTGTAAGCCTGTAACTGTACCTCATGGTAATTCACTAATTAAAAAAATGGATCATAAACTAATCCATCACTGAAGCCTGGTTTAAGAATATAAGAAAAGAGGCTTTAGTTCTAGAAGTTTACATGGTTCTAAGTGCCAGTTTGCAGGATAGCATCTGGGATCTGGGTGGGACTCACTGAGTTGACTTTGTTGCCCTCCTCCCTTTCTTCATTTCTCCATCTCGGCATTTGTGAGGTGCACTGATAACATCTGCCCACTCTACCAGGCCTGATAAATGTCCTTTTAACACTTGAGACTGCCATGTTAAAAAAATATTAGAAACATTTCTTCTCTTAAAATTTTCTCTTTATCATTACAGGAAGCTTTGAAAATGTTTAAAAAGGCACTGGGGGTGTTTTCACATTCCACTAAAGGACCAGATGCCACTGAAGCTTCAGCAGACTGTCTGTATCACTTGGGTCTTTGTTATGTGGATGAAGGCAATTCACAAATGGTATTTTGTGCATCATAAGCTATTTGAGAATTTAGGAATTGCTTGCATATTTTTTTTTGTTGTTGTTGTTGGTTTTGTTTTTGGTATAGGGATTAGGCACAAGTCCTTATACTACACCCTGTGATGCTCAGGGACTCTCCTAGCTCTGCACTCAGTAATTACTCTTGGTGGTACTCAGGGGATCTTATGGGATGCCAGGGATCGAATCCAGGTTGGTCGTGTGCAGGGCAAACACCCTACCTACAGTTTTATTGCTCCAGACCCTGGATTTGTTTCTATTTCTGAAAGCTACCTAACCAGTGAAACTTCACATAAAACTTGGCATATTGTACTAGGTCAGGACCCTAAAATATCTATTGTGTTGTTTTATTTGATCAGCACATCCTAAAATACCTATTTTGTTGTTTTACTTGATCAGCACATTAAATCAGCATTAAATAAATAATGCTTTTTAGTTAATAATAGTCTAAAGATGACTGTATATTTTCACTAAAATAATAAATAGAACTAGAAAATGATAGCATCATTTCATCACATTAATATTAATTCACTTATTAAATTGTAAACACTTTAAATCATGTGCTTCACTGTAATGTAAAATAAGTAATGATTAGGAAATAATTAGGACACTGGCTTTTCTTATTGACAACTGAAAATTCAAATCCAATAGAAATTGTTTATTAAGATGGCCCTGATTCATTGAAATCCTCTTCATTCAATTATATATTTACCCAGTATAAATGTAATTTATAAAGTAACTTTACACAGTGATTTACTTTGGAATTATCAATTATTGACAAATAATAAAATAATTAGTATTTTTTCCAGTAGATAGCTACTGTAGGATATTCTACAACTTTCCCTCTCCTCACTTCTACACACACACACACACAACACACACACACACATACACACACACACACCCCATTCCAACCCTTATATTCATAAAGATGGATGGTTTCCAGAATTTGCATCAATCTTTTGTTTTTGATTTTGTTTTTGGACCACACCTGATGATTATCAGGGATCACGCCTGGCAGGCTTGAGGGACAGTATGGGATGCCAGGCATTGAACCTTGGTCCACTGGGTACAAGGTAAATGCCGTACCTATTGCTCCTTGTATTATTTCTCCAGTCCAAAAATTTCCATAAATCTTTAATAAGAATTAAATTTTTATTTGTTGTTTTATTAACAAGTTGTACTAATTACAAGATTAACTAAAAAGGGATTGAATTTTTGTAGGGAGAGTGTCTCCAAAACAGTACTCAGGGTGCACGGGAGCCACTCCTGGCTGGTGGGTTCAATACTAGGGCCTGATATACAGTACTCCTGAGGCCCTGCAGAGCCTGAGGCCACCTGTGCCATCTTCGAGGATGCTTAGGGGCCATCTGTTCACATGCCATTTTCTGCAATGCAGTGGGGCGGGGGCATGTGGTGCCAGCAATCTAACCCAGACTGGGTAAATGCAAAGCATGTGCCTAATCTCTATGCTCTCTCTCCAGTCCCTCTTCACTTATTTAGCCATTTTGGACAACTCAATCAAACATAGATCTGTTTCATAATGTTGGGGAAAATTTTGGAGTGCCATTCTGAAATTTCATAACTGTATCTTTAATGGTTTGGGGGCCTCCCTGGGGAGTACTTGCTGTGATTTCTTTGTAGTAAAAGGACTTGGAGAATAAGGATTAAAACCATACCTCCAAAAGTATTGTAAATTAACAAGTTGGACTGTTGTAGACATTAGCCTGTGAGTAAAGGGCTCTAAAAATTATAAAAAACTTATTTATAAATAGTACATTTATTTTTCCCATAAGATTCATTGGAAGAAATATAAATGACCCAAAACTAGGGTAAATATTTTAAACAATGATTATATACTATAACCTATAAATATTTAAAATCAATATATTCTACCTACTGAGTGATTTGCTTTTAAATAACATGCTTTTCTAGGCTTATGATTGTTTTACAAAAGCTGTGAAAGCAAAACCTGATTTTGCTGAAGGCTTTTATCAACGTGGGCTTTGTAAAGTGAAACTTGGCAAGAATTACCCAATCCTGGATTTTAATCGTGCAATTACCCTGGATTCAAATCATTACCAGGTATTTAAATGAACAATTTCAGCGATTTGGATTGTGTTTAAAATGTTAGATTGTTGACATGCCACTGTTAATAGTTAGCAATTATCATTTAGTTAATTGTGTCAAGTTTTTAAGCTAACTTAAAAAATCTATATATGCATACTTTCTTTCGGATTAAAGTTATTTCTAATAGAAAACAAATATATATATATGTATATATATACTTAATGGACTACTAAATGCATTGTGTTAATACTTCAATGTACCTATTTACAATTGTGCTTTTTAAAAATGTTAATTTTATTTACTCATTTTCCTATCATATCGATTCCTACATTTTAAGAGAATGTGGATACAACATGGAATTCTGTAGGTGAAGCTTGATGGCTCTGATTTCAAAAGCCTATGAAGTTAGAATATGCACTAAATATTAAATAATTTTAAAGAAATACTATTTAATATCTTAAATATTTTATGGTAGAAGGTTATGCAAGAGAATGTCTTTTATAGGCCATTTATACTGAAAGCCTTGGAGGTGAAGTATTTAAGATTATCTACACCTTAGTTTAAAATAGTTAAGAAAAAAATTATATACAAAAAGTACTACAAAATGTTGGTAACCAAATGCAGGGACATGTGACTGCTCATTGTATATGTATATTTTTTATTTTTTTAAATTGAATCATTGTGAGATACAGTTACAAAGTTTTCACGTTTGAGTTTAGTCATACATTAATCGAACACCCATCCCTTCACCAGTGCACATTTTCCACCATCAATGTCCCCAGTTTCCTCCCATCCCCAATCCCAACACTCCCCCTTCCTCTATGGCAGACAGTTTCCCCCATACTGTCTCTCTCTACTTTTGAGCAGTATGGTTTGCAATACAGATACTGAGAAGCTACACACTTGGTCCTTTATCTACTTTCAGTACACGTCTCCCATCTCGAACAATCACTCCAACCATCCTTGACTTAATGATCTTTTCTGTATTCCAGCTGCCTTCTCCCCCAACTCATGAGGTAGGCTTCCAACTATAAAGCAATATTCCTTGCCCTTGTGTCTACTGTCCTTGGGTGTCAGACTCGTATTATGTTATTTTATGTTCCACAAATGAGTGCAGTCATTCTATCTCTGTCCCTCTCTCTCTGACTCATTTCACTTTGCATGATACTCTCTATGACCATCCTCTTATAAGCAATATATATATTATTTAAAAAATCATTTTATATCTTTGAATCATCTTTAATGGAAGAATGGAAAACACAGTGTTATCTTTGCATGGCACAAATTTATTAAAATAGCACTTATTTTTGTAGAATTGATTTTTTAATTAAAATATTCCATTTCCCTTTTCTTTTCCTAATAGGCATATTTAAGTCGAGCAGCCTACTATGGTTTGAAAGGCAGATATTCCAAAGCAATCTTAAATTGTAATGAGGCCATTAAAATTTGTTCTCAGAATGTGTTTGCCTATATCTACAGAGGAGTTCTGAAATACTACAATAAGGTAGGATTATTTTCTACAGTTTTTACTAAGATTTTAGAGTGGGTAGATGCTTGGGTGCCTAGTAAGGACTCCTTTCTTTCTATATATTTTTAACTTCTGGGATAAGGATCACCATGATATGAGTGAAAGAAGTATATATAATACATTGCATTTTCGTAGTACTCAAAAGGGACTTTGATTTGGGGTTGAAAAATAGTATAGCAGACAAGGCACTTGCAGGGCAAGGGAGGCTGGCCCAGGTTCAGTCTCCAGCACTCCATATGGTCTCCAGAGCCTTCCAGGAGTGGTCCCTGAGTGCAGATCCAGGAATAAGCCAAGAGCACAGTGGGCATGACCCCCAAACCAACTTACAAACACACCGGAAACCAAAAGGGACTTTCATAATTTTATACAAAACATTGATGTTTATTGTTGGTGCTTATATTTTAAATGCCACTTTTATTTTCTCCCTTCTTACTAGTTCATCATTGGTTTGTAGTATTTCAAGGGTACAGCATTATACCTTTTATATATGTATAGAAGACTCACTGCTCCCACCATGAGCCTTCTTCCTGTCCCATCTTCCTCCAGAAATCCCCATCAGCCTGTTCCCCTACTGCTCCTTTAACTCTGGCCAACCACTATAGTTTCCACCCAGTCTAGAAGTTAGTTTTATTATTGTTGCTTTTCTGACTGCAAGTTTGTTGGGTTTAGTTATTTATATTTGACACTCTTCTTAAGTCTTACAGTTATCAAAATTCCCCCTTATTTTTCTAAACCTATTTCTTTTCCATATGAGTAATTATTGAAATTTTATCTTTAATTTCATTTGTTCTTTCCTTTGTGGGATTGAGCCTTTGTGTGGGGAGAGAAGGAGGGCTTGGTTTTGGTTTTGGTTTTGGGCTGTACCTGATAAACTCAGGGTTTACTTCTGGCTCTGAACTTCTGTCAGGGATTAGGGACAGTATAGGGTGCTGGGGATTAAATTCGGTTTGACGTAGTCCAAGACAAGTGCCCTACCTGTTGTACTATTGATCTGGCTTCAGAGCTTTTTTTTTTTTTTAAAAAAATGCTTTTCATGGAGATTTTGAGTTCATTCATTGTATTTTTTATATCTGCTACCATTAGTGTTTCAATTTTTTGTTTTGATTTGGACCACACCTGGTGATGCTCTGCAGCTAATCTTAACTTGGATTGGCAGTCACTCCTGCAAGTGTCTTGGGGACCATGATGTGTGATGGGGATCAAACCTGGGCCTCCTGAATATAAAGCACATGTTCCAACCTATTGTGCTATTTTTCTGGCCTATTTTTTAAAAATAGCTTTGATCTTTTTGAAATGTTCCTGAGTTTCCTTTCTTATTTCATTAAAGGTTTATTCTGTGTTAGCATGCATTTGTTGTATTTTCTTGAGTTATGTAATGATAGTTATTTTAATTTCTTAGACTCCCAATTTTTGTGACAATCAGACTTATTCCTGTAGAGTTTTTTCCTCATTTACTGTGAAAGGACTTAAACTGTTTTTGACACTGCTTTATTTTCTTTACTAGAAAGTTCTGTCATTCTTGATTTTTAAGATGTTTTGTTTTTCAGGACTTTTTCATGAGAGTGTAGACTAGAGTGATTCATTCAGTTTCCTTCAGTTTCTTTGCCATTGAACCTTTTGTTCATTCCTGTGAAGTGATGGAAAAAGTCTCAGCTTCCCAGATTTTGCCACGTCTCCTTCTGTAGGGCGTGGGCTAAATGTGGGTTTTTGTAACTCAAGGTTAGAGTGATTTCAGATTCATATCATAAAGGCATAGAGGGAAGAGGAGTACCTGCCAAGCTATGTCTGCTGAATTCACGGCGACTTTTGTTTAGCCAGAGATTATCAGCCAGCTGGATATTTCTCTGAGAGGGGAGCCCAGAAACAGTGTGTCCCAAAAACCAGTTACTTTCCCTGCTTGAACTGCAAACCAACACAGCTGAGACATTCCTGGGCTGAAAAAAGAATAGTAACCTGATGAAGTGGGACAGGAACTCTGCCTGCAGTGACTTGTGTTTGTTGTGGACAACTGAAAGTCATAGTAGGCAGCCTGAGAATGGGTCTGGCTGAATGGGTCCTTTTCCCCTCATGGTCACATTTGGGGTCCTAGAGCACTGGGTGCTCCTGAGGTCCTGCTCACCCTGCTAAGTTTACTGTGGCTGCACAGAATTTCTTTGTCTGGAGCAGTAAAGCAGGAGCTCAGAGTCTTTCTCTTCTTTGACCAACATCACAGACTTTTAAATTTATTTTGAATCATGCTGGTTCTTGTCTTTTGTTTGTTTTTGATTTCGGAGGGGGAATATGTGGCGTACTCAGGACTTACTCAAGGCTTTGTGCTTAGGGACCACTCCTGGGTGCTCGGGGGCTATAGATTGTCAGGCATCAAAGCTGGATCAGTCACATATCAGTCAAGTACCTTACTCATTGTACTGTCTCTCCTACCCTGGTGCTTATTTTGATCTAAAGTTCTGGTGATAAATTTGATGTGGGTTATATAAACTACACACATGTACATAAAATATTTAGGGGAATTTATTTTTTATTATGCTCTGTGTATCCATATTTTGTTGGCATGACTCAATAAATTTTATCTTTATTAAGAAAATAGTATAACTTTATTGTAGAAAATTTGGAAAAAGGATCGGTGATTAGAGGAGATTAAATTTCACTATCAAATAAGTGGTATATTCTGAAAGCACTCTGTTGTATATTGATTTTGCTTTTAGTTCTCTTTTCTAATCATGTATAATCCATGTTTTCAAAAATTTGAAGTTATGTTACTTCCATCAGTGTGTTGTGCCCTATATTTTTAGTAAGTTATTCAAGATTCCATTTCTAATGACTGTATGGTATGTTTCTTTTTTTTTTCTCTTTTTGGGTCATACCCAGCGAAGCACAGGAGTTACTCCTGGCTCTGCACTCAGGAATTACTCTTGGCGGTGCTTGGGTGACCATATGCGATGCTGGGAATCGAACTTGGGTTGGCTGCATACAAAGCAAATGTCCTACCTGCTGTGCTATCGCTCCAGCACCTTTCTTTCTTTCTTTCTTTCTTTCTTTCTTTCTTTCTTTCTTTCTTTCTTTCTTTCTTTCTTTCTTTCTTTCTTTCTTAATTTTTATTAGTGAAACACAATGAGGTACAGTTGTAGACTTACAAATTTTTGTGCTTGGGTTTCAGTTATACAATGATCAAGTACCCATCCCTCTACCAGTGCCTGTTCTCCACCACCATGGGTCCCAGTATCCCTCCCAACCCCCATCACCCCCATCCCACCCTGCATCTGTGGCAGGCCATTCCCTTTTGTTCTCTCTCTCCTTTTGGGTACTGTGGTTTGCAAAAGAGGCATTGAGTGGCAATCATGTTTGGTCCATAGTCTACTTTCAGCATGCTTCTCCCACCCGGGGAGGATCCTCCCAACACCCTTTATTTGGTGCTCCCATCTCTATTTGAACTCCCTTTTTCCCTAGCATGTGTGGATGGCCTCCAAGCCATGGAGCAAAATTTCTGGTACTAATCTCGGCCACTCTTGGGTGTTAGTCTTTTATTTTGTTACTTTATGTTCCCCAGATGAATGCAATCTTTCTATGTCTATCCCTCTCTTTCTGACTCATTTCGCTAAACATGATACTTTCCATGTAGCACCTTTCTTTACCATAATTTTTTTTTTTGCTTTTTGGGTCACACCCGGCAATGCACAGGGGTTACTCCTGGCTCTGCACTCAGGAGTTACTCCTGGCAGTGCTCAGGGGACCATATGGGATGCTGGGAATCAAACCTGGGTCGGCCGCATGCAAGGCAAACGCCCTACATGCTGTGCTATCTCTCCAGCCCCTACTACAATTTATTTTTAATCAGATCTTATTGGACATTTAGGTTATTAAATTCCTTTTGTTTTTTTAAGAAAAGGCAGATTTTGGGGCTGGAGCAATAGCACAGCGGGTAGGGCATTTGCCTTGCACACGACCGACCTGGGTTTGATTCCCAGTATCCCATATGGTCCCCTGAGCACCACCAAGGGTAATTCCTGAGTGCAGAGCCAGGAATAACACCTGAGCATTGCCGGGTTTACGGGTGTGACCCCAAAAGCAAAAAAAAAAAGAGGCTGATTTTATTTGGAAGCTTTTAGGAAGGGAAAAGAGGGAGAGAGAAGAGAGAAGAGAGAAGAGAGAAGAGAGAGAGAGAGAGAGAGAGAGAGAGAGAGAGAGAGAGAGAGAGAGAGAGAGAGAGGTGCTCAAGAGAGAGAATGCGAGAGAGCCCCAGTCCACATTTCAAGAGAGAAGATGTGGGGGACACATGTGCTTGGGCACCACGTATGCTCAGCCACACATGGGCTCAAGCAGCACATGGACTCAGGCAGCATATGCGTGCCCTTCCTTTATTCAAAGTGACCTTTTAAGGTTTTTTTTTTGCCCCCAAGCTTCCCCATGTGGGGCTTCTAGCTACCATTGGGAGGGTGGTTGCTAATGGCCTTGTTGGGAGTAGTCTATGGTCCTGTTTGAAATTCCTTTCCTTGGCCTTTGTTCCTACTGGAACTTCTCTCAGAGGAAGTTCATCCTTCTCTGGGTCAGCTGGAGCCAAGTGAAATCTTACCAGACCTTGGTTCTTATGTCTGCAAGGTGGACTTTTGCAGCCTTAGGGTTATTGGTTTTATTACTTTCCAGAAATTCCATTGCCATGGGGGCCCTTTCCTATCTACCTGCCTACATTATATTTCCCCCACTAGAGATTTTATCACCTTAAATCTTTAAGGGGAAAAATGTTTGAAGGTCTGTCTTCTGGAGCTTCTTCATGCTGACAAAGGACCTATAGATCCTGCCTATTCCAGGGGTGAACCCTTATGATACCCTAGTTTTATTTTTTAAATTTATTTATTTATTTATTCATTTTTATTAGTGAAACACCATGAGGTACAGTTACAGACTTACAAATTTTTGTGCTTGGGTTTCAGTTATACAATGATCAAGTACCCATCCCTCTGATGTCGGTGGGCCCCACGGGTGACTTATGTGAAGCGGGGAGGAGAAAGACAGTCACTTTCTCCCCACCTGCCTCTGCCACTCGGGACCCAAGGTTGCTGGGTTCTTGTCTCGCCTCGCAGAAAGGAATTTCAGGAGTAGACAAGCAGTGAAGTAAATAGATTTTATTCGGAGGATTTTTAGGTATGGAGGGAGGGAGAGGGAGTGAGAGAGTAAAGTTAGACACGAAAGCATGAAAGTACACATCTCAAGAGGGGAGATGCGGGCGACACAAGTGCTCGGGAACCACACGTGCTCGGCCACGTGGGCGCAAGCAGCACATGGGCTCAGGCAGCAAATGCGCGCCCTTCCTTTGTTCAAGGTGGCCTTTATAGGGTTTCTCCAGCCTGCCCCCACGTGGGGCTTCTTCCCAGGTAAATGTCCGTTGCTAAGGAGGTTACCAGGGAGGATGGGAGTGGTGATGGTCTTCTTTGAAATTCCTTTCCTGGCCTTTTGTTCCTAGAGGAGCTTCTATGGGTCTGTTGCTGGAGCCATGTGAGGGTCTTATCAAGCCTTAGTTCTTGTTTTCCTATTTTCTGCAGGGCTGGCTTTTGTCATTGCCTCGGGAGGGGGCCCTCCCTGTCTACCTGCCTACATCACCTCCACCAGTGCCCATTTTCCAACCACCACGGGTCCCAGTATCCCTCCCAACCCCCATCACCCCCATCCCACCCTGCCTCTGTGGCAGGGCATTCCCCTTTGTTCTCTCTCTCCTTTTGGGTGTTGTGGTTTACAAAAGAGGCATTGAGTGGCAGTCATGTTTGGCCTATAGTCTACTTACAGCGTGCTTCTCCCATCCTGGGAGGATCCTCCCAATACCCTTTATTTGGTGCTCCCTTCTCTATCTGAGCTCCCTATTTCCCTAGCACATGTGGCTGGCCTCCAAGTCATGGAGCAAAATTCCTGGATGCTCCAGTTTTAATCAGGTCCAGGCAATGAATTGGTTGGGTTCCTAATGTTATCAGCATTTGAAATAAAAAGATCAGATCAATTAGGCTGAGTAAAGCCACTTTGAGATGATTATATCCTGGAGGAGTAAAAGGCCTTCTCTGACCTGGAAAGGGCAGAGTGGTTTGCTGTTTTAGAAGACACAAAAGTTAAGCAATAGAAACCAAAGCAACATAATGCCATACCTATTCCTATTTAAAACAAAATTGCAAGGAATAACTTCTTTGCCCATGCTTTGGGCTATTTTAGCTGTTAAAAATCCTTGTTCTCTCCAAAAGATTTCATGTGCACATAGCACTAAGAACAAATACTTAGATATTAAACTCCTTTTTATTATTGTGGTGTTTAAAATAAGATGTTAGTATGGTAGTATAGGGATGAAGAGATAGTAAGTAAGGTGCTTACCTGTGTTCATTACTATATTGAGCATGCTATATGGTCCCTCAAGCACTGCTAGATGTGATCCCTGAGCCCAGAGTCAGGGATCTGACCACTACTGGTTGTGGTTAAAAAAAAATTAGTATGTACACTAAGAGAAAGTTATTTCTTGAGTTTATGACTGATTCCTAAATAAAAATTACTGGTCAAAATGTTATGTTAATGTTATTGATATCTAAGTAAGTAGTTATGGATATCTACACAATCCAAGGAATACTTTGTTTCTCCCCATTTTTTTCCCTCCTTACTTTTCTAATCTTTTGTGGTAGCTATTTCATATGAAATATTTTGCAAAAGAATTTCCTAAAGCTCAGACTGTGCATTATGTATTAATTCCATGAAAATTGTTATCAGTAGAAATAGATGACACAAGTACCAAAAATATAAAAAAAAAGCAAAAAAGAATATGGATAGGAAACATTTTGATTATATTATATGAGAATATAAGATGGGGTAAGCAAGCTTTGATGAAAGTTTGTGGGGTCAATACGACTGGCTTTTAGGCCATGAAGCATAATTTTCTCCTTGCTATATAAAAACAGTGCTGGTAAGATAATAATTTAAATTTGTTATTTCTATGTTAAATTTGTTTGCAGATAAGTTAAACTATAATAACAATTCCTATCAATAGATTTTCACTCTAAAAGATTAGTTTGATTGTCTCAATTTCACAGATAATACACAAAAATAATTAATATGCAAAAGATTCAGAGTAAAGAAATTGTTTTGCAATTAAATTTTAGGCCATTATGATTAACCCTTTTTACAATTATTATTTTTCTTTGCAGACTTATAAATTAGCTATTATAGATTTAACCATAGCTGTCAGCATGGACAAAAATAGTTATATAGCGTTTTACAACAGAGCTATTTGTTATACCCGGGTCAGTGAATATACAAAGGTAAGATGATGTTTGTAGTAAACATCTTAAAACATTTCATAAACATTTTAGTACATAAGGTATTTTCATATTTCTGCTATGATGTTGAAGAACCATTCCTGTGGAAATACACATACAAAAACAATAAGAAACCAGTGAACCATGTCAGAGTTCTTTTTTAGGACTTACAAATTTTTCTCATATAATCTCTGTAGTGTTTCATGAAAAAAAATTAATGCCTTTTTTAGCATTTAGTTAAATGTAAGTTAAGTCATGTTAGTTATGTAATTTTTTAAATTTGAGTCAATATAAACTTCATACCATTTTTTTTCCATTTATTTTATTTTATTTTTTTTAAAGTTGTAGATTTACAATTTTTTGTGCTTTGGTTTCAATTATACAATGATCAGATACCCATCCCTCCACCAGTGCCCATTTTCCACCACCATGGATAATATCCCTCCCACCCCCATCCCCCCATCCCCCCTGTCTCTGTGGCAGGGCAATCCCCTGTGTTCTCTCTCTCCTTTTGGGTGTTGTGGTCTGCAAAAGAGGCATTGAGTGGCAAACATGTTCAGTCCATAGTCTACCTTCGACATGCATCTCCCCTCCTGGGAGGATCCTCCAAACATCCTTTATTTGGTGCTCCCTTCTCTATCTGAACTGCCCTTTCCTCTAGGATACCCGGCTGGCCTCTAAGTTATGGAGTAATCCTCCTGGTGCTGATCTCAGCTATTCTTGGGTATTAATCTCATACTTTGTTACTTTATATCCCCCAGATGAATGCAATCTTTCTATGTCTATCCCTCTCTTTCTGAGTCATTTCGCTTAGCATGATACTTTCCATATTGTACCACTTGTATGTAAATTTCATGACTTCATCTTTTCTAACAGCTACATAGTACTCCATTGTGTAGATGTACCAAAGTTTCTTTAACCAGTCATCTGTTCTTGGGCATTCAGGTTTCTTCCAGTTTCTGGCTATTGTAAAGAGTGCTGCAATGAACAAACAAGTGCAGATGTAACTTCGACTATACATTTTTGCCTCTCTGGGATATATTCCCAGGAGTGGAACTTCATACCATTTTTTTGGCTAAGTAATTACTGTCAGGTCACTGTCCTCCCGTTGCTCATCGATTTGCTTGAGCGGTCCAGTAACGTCTCCATTTTGAGACTTATTGTCACTGTGTTTGGCATATTGAATAAGTAATTACAAGAATGATTATTACCTCCCAGTCTCTGCAAATGTTAATCAAAGAATTTTCTTATAGGGTACTCAGCTCACAGGAGGAGCATGAGGGCTAAATCATGGTTTCCAGCTCTGGGGATATATTGAAGCATGTAGTCATTTTTTTATTTAATTCAAATTGAACTTGCCCTGTGTCTGGTTGTTCTATTTATGTACCTTTGTTGCTTTGGTTTTTTTTTCCATTCAAGATTCCTCACTCAATGTTCTGTTTCATCTTCTCTTGCTCTGTTATCCAGGTACTCCCCTTCTTTTGTTTCTCTGATTATTCCACAGTTACCAGGGCATTCTTTAAAAAGAAGACCTCTCATTTCGCTTGCTTTGTATAGTCTCACTCCCCCAATCTCCTTGAAAATTGGAATAGTGGGCTGGGTTTAAAACAGTAGGGAATATAGAGATGTATTTGTCATGGACAAGAAATACTTGAACAACTTTGTTTCTCTGGAAGAGGATACAGACTTCCTGCTAACCATCAGGTTTCCTCCAGAAATGTTGATGAATGAATAACTGATTTTTAACAAGGGAATTGTCAAGATCCTAGGAAACCAATTAAAAGATCATCTGTCAGACTAACCTTCACAGCAGGTGTCTTTGATAAACTCCCTCTCTACCCCCACTCCTGCTTTTTCTGGACAACCCTAAATCCCAAAGCAATGGTCCAGGTCGGGGCAGGGGACTCCCCTCAACAACTTTATAAAAATCTTCAAACACTAGTAAAGACAATAAAGTTAATAAAGAAAATGGAAATCCACCTAAATACGAAAAATATTCGTATTTAGCTAGAAAAATATTCTTCTTGGCTGTTTTAGAGTAGGTGAATGATATGCGTTTCATCCAAATACTTCATTTTAATGCGGAAATAGAAGTAGGGAGAGGTTAGAATGGTTTCCAAGTCATACAGGGAGCATGACCTGTATTAATGTCCACAGCTTTGTTTGCTTCTGGTTAACAGCCTTTGGGTGTCTTTGTAAAGCCCTCTGACCTCTAGCATGTGAACCGGATGTCATTTAACAGTGTCACCTCCCTCCTTTTGTCTACCTCCACCTGTTTCTCAGCATTCTTAGGGTAATAGACTGAGGAAACCTCAATGTCTTTCTGTGGCAAATACATTAAAGCATTCTCCCAAGGTGTCGTTTTCTAAAAATTAAGAAAATGTAAATTCTAATTACTACTACTGATATTAATTAAAAATAGTAAGAGTATGCCAGTTAACTTAGGGATTACTATGTGACAGGCATGTCGACATACATATACTGATATATATATATTTGCCTGGACCTATATGATTAATTACTAATATCCCAGTTTTGCCAATGAGGAAGCTGAAGCTTAGTGTTAAGTAACTTTCCCAAGACTGAAAAGCTGGTAATAATAGCAAAGGCATGATACAAATCCTGTTCATTGACTTTCATGAAATCTCATTTCCCAGCTTTTATTTCCTCTTGAATTGAATGTTCAGCTGCTCAGTGGATTTCTAAAGCATCTTACAGGTTTTGCATTTCGTGATTCTGTGAAATGAAAAGTGATAGCATTCTAGCTTTTTTTTTTTTTCTAACAAGTTTCATGAATTACTTTTGCAGCTTTGGCAAAGTTTATAATTATTCCACATTGTAGGATATTTAATTGTACAATTCTTTCAGATAGTTGAGTGAAATCATGAAACACTGAGGACCAATGAATAAATAATTAACTCAACTTTTATTTTTTTTTACTTTCAGTTAGAATATGATTGCAGAATGGCACTGGACATAGATTGTGCAGAGAGAATGCAGTGGGTAGGGTGCTTGCCTTGTTTGTGACTAACCTGGGTTCAGTTTCAGGCAATCCACATGTTCCCTTGAACACCTCAAGGATGATTCCCTGAGCACAATAGAAGTAAGCCCTGAACAATCCCACCCACCCCAAGAAAAGAATGTGTGACAGTTGTGACTTACACCCCCCTCATCTCCCTCTGTCTCTCCCTCTCCTGCTCCCCTTATTCCCTCTCTCCCTCCATTACTACTTCCCTCTCTCCTTGTATTCCTCCCTCCCTCTCTGCTTTCTACTTTGCTTCCTTCCTTTCTGTTTTTGGCCCACACCCAGTGCTGCTTAGAAGTTACTCCCGTCAGTGGACCAAATAGGGTGCCATATAGGATTAAACCCAGGTCATTTTAGTGCAAGGAAAGTGCCTCCCTAGTCCCTAGTCCCATTTTGGTCTTCTGATAAAACCATGGGTTCTTTTGAATGACAAAGTGCAGTAGGGAAATGTGTTGAGAGATTCAGCTCCAACCAAAAATTTCGCTGCTTCTAGTACCTGATGTGTAGTGGACAACAATATACTTGTTAATTCAGTGAATTAAAAAAAGAGATAAGGCGCATATGTGCTGCCTGAGCCCATGTGCTGCTTGCGCCCACGTGGCAGAGCACATGTGGTGCCCAAGCACATGTGTCGCAGGCATCTCCCCTCTTGAGATGTGTACTTTCATGCTTTTGTGTTTAATGCGAGAATGTGTGTAGGGGCTCTCTCCGCCCTTGGAGAAGCCCATGTTCTCTCGAGTACGTTACTCTCTCACTCTCTCCCCCTCCACACCTTAAAAGTCCTCCAAATAAAATCTGTTTATTTAAAAAAAAAAGATAAAAGTTATGGCAAAATATCTCCTAGTCATTTCTCAGTCTATGTGTTTGAATATGTGCATTTGTGTGTGTGTGTGTGTGTGTGTGTGTGTGTGTGTGTGTGCGTGCGCGCGCGCGCACGTGCGCACGCATGTAAAAATGCTTGGAAATATTTTCCCAATTAAGTGCTTATTTGCTTAAATAATTGACTCATGATTTATTTATGTAACAGAGTTTTTGAGTGACCATCTGTGTTACAGTGGTAGTTACAGGTTTACAGTGGTGGTCATAGTGGACTAATTCTGCCTTATAAAATAGATTCATTGTAAGGAAAACAATGAAAACACTAAAAAGAAATTAAGTTTCAAAATATAATGAGAACTTTACTTTAAAGTAAACTTTAAAGTAAATTTTAAAGTAAACTCTTGGTGAAACTACTGATTGGGGGAAGTATACTGTATCCTACCTTTCAACCTAGGCACAATAAAAATGTTTGAGATAATTCATGTTTCACAAATAGCATGGGAAATATAGCACAGTAGTTACAGCTTAATGAAAATTTTGTACTGCTAAAAAAGAACTTTTTATAGCTAACAAATGATTACTTGCAATCATAGATTATAAATCAAATAAAAGAACTGCACTGTAGCACTGTCCTCCCATTGTTCACCCATTTGCTCGAGCAGGCACCAGTAATGTCTCCATTGTGAGGCTTGTTGTTACTGTTTTTGGCATATTGAATATGCCACAGGGAGTTTTCCAGGCTCTGTCATTCGGGCAGGATACTCTCGCATGGGCCCTCTGAGAGGGATGCAGGAATTGAACCTGGGTCGGCTGCGTGCAAGGCAAACACCCTACCCGCTGTGCTATTACTTCAGTAGGGGCATAATTTGTGCATATTATAAAAGCATTTATTCATTGATAGCTGATGTAAATTTCTGAATAACAATATGGACTGTACAGATTGTTTTATTTTCAGGCCTTAATAGATTATGGAACGGTGCTTCTTCTTGATTCTGGAGAGACCATAGTCTTGAATACTTTCATTAATCGTGGACGTATCTATACAGAACTAGAGCAATACCATTTTGCTTTAGAGGTAAGCCTTTCTGTTTACTTGTGAAAAACTGCCTAATTAAGAACTGGAGAGAAAGTCCAGGGATTAAGGCACTTTCTTTGAATGTGACTGACCCTGATTTGATACCTGGCACAATCTGTGCTCTCCTAAACACTGCTGGGAGTGAGCCTGAGTACAACGTCAGGAGTCAGACCAGAGTTCCACTAGGTGTGGTTCCAATACCACCCCCTCAGCCTCCCAAGATAAAACAAAAACCTTTTTAAAAAACTACAAATTTTATTTTGTGTATTCACTTCAGAAAACTACTGACCAAATTTTCTTGCTAGAAAATGGTAATATATAATGATCACTAACTCAACGTTAGACAGAATTATAAAGAATATTTTAGGGCCTGAGCAATAGTACAGCGGGTAGGGCATTTGCCCATATGGTCCCTCCAGCACCACCAGGAGTAATTCCTGAGTGCAGAGCCAGAAGTAACTCCTGAGCATTGCTGGGTGTGACCCAAAAAAGTAAAAAAAAAACAAGGTAAAAAAGAGAATATTTTTATAATTAGCTCAATCTGATAAGTATGTGCTTTGCCTTTGATAACAGATAGTAAAAAAGGTTAAAAATGTTGATTTGATGAGATACATACAGTATCATTACAGATAATATTTTGACTACACAGGAAACTCAATTGTCAAATAAAGTAATTTGTGTATGACTTTGTTGCTCATTGCTGTCATTCACAATTTTTAATTGAAAATACATTAGTAGAAATATGTTTGTTTCATACAAGGCAGAAAATAGGTCCTCAAAATATGCTTTTACAAATAGGGTTTTAAGTTAGTGGAGCAGGTACTCAGACTTGCAATAGAAGCTATTATATTCAATATATCAAAAACACCAAGTGGTTTAAAATATATTTCCTTATAGACTAATTTACAAAATTCACCATTCTCATTTTTAAACTTTGAATTTATATGGCCTAATTTAATAAACATTGGAATAAAGTTAAGTGATATTAACTTTAATTAAAATTAATTGAATATCAATTTGAATTTTGCCATTAAGTAACAGTAGTTTTCTTTCCTTGTTTCCTATATCATGTAGTAAGTTTTTCCCTGTGTATTTCACCTTCAATGATGTCTTGTATTATTTTTCTACTGATAATTCTTTTCTATAGAATCACATACTTAGAAGTGGTCTCAGAAGCCTTTTTCTAAGCAATATACACTATGATGAAGTTAAACAACAAATAGCCATTCTAAGAATCTTAACACATGAAAAAAGTAAGATAGAGACAAGAACAAACCAACAAATTGCCACAGGTCTCTGGGGATGTGCAGAGGAAAGGCGGGTAGAAGGACATGATAAAAAGCTTCTAAGCTCTAGTCTGGTTGTTATTTCCTTCTACCAAATTTCCTTCTCCACCATCCCCAAAGACCGGTGCCTTTCAGAAGGGAATCTGGGGATGTTTAAAAAATTTAATTTTTGTTTTGTTTTAGGGCCACGCCTGACTGTGTTCAGGGATCACATGGCAGGGCTCTGGGGAACATATGTGGTGCCAGGGATCAAACCCTGGTTAGTCTTGCGGAAAGGCTACTATACTGACTACTCACTATACTGATTCCCTGGTCCCCTTAAAAAAATTACGTAGCTATTGTACTTCTCAGAGTTCAGCTTAGTCAGGTGTCACAAGGAGACCAGCCCATGCAGACCCCTGCTGAAGCTGCCTCTTAAAAATGGGTGAACCTTTTTCTTCCTTCTTCACAGGTTTTTGAATACTTATTTTCAAAAATCCTCTTCCACATCACAACAAATATTAAAGTCAATCAGCATCTCACATCCCTCATTGTATTCACATCTATGTGTGCTTTATACAGTTGGCATGGTATTTTGATGTGCAGGTGTTTTGCTAATATCGCTTTGGTGATGTGCTTATTTTGATTGAGTTCTTCAACTCTTTTGTAATATTTGTAAAATGTATGATCTTCTGACATCATGTCTGTGATGCTTAGTAGAAGAATAATCGGGAACCACAGAGAGGAAATCTCTAATAAATTAAACAGTATTTCCCCCTATGCCATTCCAGTTCTTCTCCGCTGACTTCTCTAACTCAAAATATTATGTGTAGATTTCACATTTTCCTTCTTAAGAGATCTTTCAACTTCCAACATAAGTTCATACACTTCTCCTTTCAAGTAGGGATTCCAAAGGTGGAAGAAGCCTTATCTTGTCTACCCAGTGGCTCCAGTCATACCCTCTGCCGGTACCCAAGGGGGTCTCTTTGTCCTGTGGTCTAATACCAAAGGTTCTCTCGTTGTGGCCTTCCCTTTCTATCTAGGGTCAATGAGATGGCTCTTTAGGCTGAATGCACACTTTGCATGTGGAGGCCTGGGTTCTGTCCCTGGCACCACATGGTCCTCTGAGCATTGCCAGGAGAGCCCACAGAGCATAGAGCCTGCAGGACAGTGGCCCTGGGTGCTGCTGGGCGAGGCCCCCAAACAGAACAAACAAAAACCATTCTCTCTAAACGAAGTCTCTGGTGGTGTTCACTAGGGACAAAAACATAAAAAAGTAAATGATATATTTGATTATGTACAACAGGTAAAAACACATAAAACATAATTATTCTGAAAGTAGAGACCAGTAGTCTAAGATTCAGGGCCAGTTTTCAGATCTGGGTTTTCTCAGTAAATGTGATATAAAGGGGGAAAAAATCAAAGAAGATGTCTATATACATATATAATTTTTTTTCTGAGGAGGGGGAATCTACCTGGTTCTTTGTGCTTGTCACTCACTCTTGGAGGTGCTCAGGAGACTGTGCACTGTCAGGGATCAAACCCAGGTCTCTTGCATGCAAAGCACTAACTAACCCTTCAAGGAATCTCCCTGGGGAAAACATGTATATCTTAAAGCTTGTTTTAAGTATATTCATAATAGAATAAATGTTAGAAAGATATTTAATAAATTATAAAAGATAATTTCACAAAATTGACAAAATTTTATAAAACCATTTCAGGATTTTAAAACTGCTGCAAAGATGCAAAAGACCAATGTAAACTTGTATCATGTGACTGCCGAGTGCCATTACAGGTATGAATGATATTCGTGTTGAAGAGAAAACAAGGGAGCCCAAAATACCAAGAGCTGTAATAGAAGAAAAGAAAGGAAACATTGTGAACTTGATAGTATACAAGGGGCATACAATTAAGTAATTAACTTTCTTCATAAAATGAAAACCAACTTTCTAAGTTTAGTATATATATTTTTGCTAGTGTTGCATTGCATTAAAACTTTAGACATAACAGATGCTCATTATTGGAAATCAACATTTGTAGCCCTTTTCCTGATTTTTATTTCATTTTATCTGTTTATTGTTTTGGTTTGGATGCCTCACTCAGCTGTTCAGGGCTTATTTTTCTCTGGCTTTGCACTCAGATATCTGTCCTACAGGAGTCTGGGGGTACTGAGCCAGGGTCATTGCGTGCAGGGCAAGTACCTTACCCACTGAACTGTCTCTCCAGCCCTTTGTTTGTATTTTAAGACGCCTATTTATTGGCACCCCCTGGCATCACTGGCCATATGGAGATCCTGGAGATCCCATAGAACTGGGGGTCCTGGGTGGTTCCCTGAAGTTCTCAACACTGAAGCTTCTGCTGAGCACCACTGCATCCTTGGGTCCTCATGCTGAACTGAGAATCTCTGGGAATGGCCCTGGGCCCCTGCTTGGAGACCACCTACCCCAAAGCCACCTATTTTCTGAGAAGAGGGTGGTGAAAAGTTTGCATTCAGAGAAGTTGCATACTTCTAAAAAATACTTCACAGTTTTCCATCTAAGTCTGATCTTTAAAATGCCTGTAAATATTTCCCAGTACAATAAAACCTGAAAAAAATACCCTACTTAAAAAACATTATCACATGTTTCTGGGATTATTGTAAAACAAGTGAGTGGAAACAGGTGAAACAGAACAGCTGTACAAGGCTGAAATAAGAAGATAATCAAAAAGTTATTATGAAACAATATAGCAGATAGGTTTGTTAACATTTATATTTCCACACCTACATTTAACACTCAAATTAATTTTTCTGGCCAGTTTGTTTTTAAAAACAGAAATTCAGCATGTCAAAGTTTTAATATGGGATAAAATGTATTTGGTTAACTACAGTTTATAGCATTATTTTTATGAGAGAATCAGTGGAAATTAATCTGAGGAAAATAAGACAGTACATGAGGCTTTATTATCCAATTTAGAGCATCAAACATGGTTTCAATTATTTAGGAAATAATTTTTTGTATCTTTTGGAACAGAGTAACTATATTACCACACAAAGGCTAGTTTGAAAACACATTAATATAACTTGAATTTGCAAAAATGCCTTCTAAAAGATCTAACCTGGTTCCAGATATTTAATTTTATAGAGAAAGCAGAACATAGTCGTCCTGTTGTCTATTTTAATCCAGAAATTTTAGACAATCTATTTCTTTTACTAATTGTCAGACTTAAAAAGTGATGGACTAATGATGACAAGTGTATTTGTTTGGATGGATGAGTGTAGATGAAAAATATTTGAGGTCATTTCATTCTCTTCAAACTGAGAGCAGAATCCAAAATTCCTCTAAATCTCTTCCCTATGTTTAGCAACTATTAGAATCGGTAAATTTCTCTTTGTGTCACTTCCTGATCTTTTTTATGAAATGTAATCACTGAGTATATACGGTGGAGGCTCCTTAAGCTGACACTGCTTTGCAATTCCAAATACCCCACTTTCTCCAGTCTACTGAAATCTCTATTGTCCTTTAATAAAAGTAGAATTTAAATCAACAGTAAAGCCCTGACAGTCGCTATCCCAATACCATGTGTTTTGTGTTTTACCAGTTTTGCTGAATTCAAAAATAAATGTTTAGAGATCGATTATGTTTATTTCACTGGAATATTTTTGCTTTTTAAGGTGAGCTATACCACACTCATTCTTCATCAGCACAGGTTTTGAGTATTGAGATTTACTATTGGCCCATTGCAGTGGTGAAAGTAAAAATTTTGCCATTTGAAATTTTTTTTTAAGGAATAAATCTTTAACTTTTAGGGCTTTGATCTTTGAACTCCTGGGGTTGCAGACTTTTGAAGTCTGCCTTTGTATATCTCTGCTTCTCACTCTTGTGGTTGCTAGGAGACAACATTCCATAGGCTGAATATCCTACTTGTTGCCCAACTTGGTGAGGAGGAGTATTAGGGTAGATTTAATTTTTAGATGTCTTTGGGAAAGTCACCTTCAAATTTTGAGAATAAAAAACAAGTTGCAGAGAGTCTGATTAACCAAGGTTACATCCCTTATCCACTTTTTATTTTTGGATAATTATTATATGGCTTCAATATTTGCTTAAAATAATTTTGACTCTTTGACTCTGCAAGCCACATTCTTAAGTTTGGGGAGGTATTTATGATTTATTTGGATAACTCAGTCAGGCACATCTGGTCACGTATGTGATTAATTTGGAAAATGCAGTGGGCCTTTGTGCCTGTGGCATAGCTTGCAAGCTCAGCACAGAAGCCAACGTGAATGGACACTCTAATGAGAATCATGTGTGTTCAGTCACACTATTTTACATCAAATTATTTTAGATTTATATGAACAAATTTTAGAAAAATATCAGTCCATAAACTTTCATATTTGCAGTAATTGGTGTCTAGCAATATATCCTACTATAAGAGCATTTCAGTTGTCTGACTGCCATATGATTATTGAACAAAATCTTTCATCTATAGGCTACTTTGTTGATAATCGTATTCTTTTATACACGTGTGCACACATGCACAGCCATTTACATACATGTATACATAGTTCATAAAAGGAAGAGTGCTGGAAATGAGAAAAGAATATTATCTGACCATCAACAAATACTTCTCACTCCACCATAAAAATTCTAATTACTGAAGAGAGATGTAGTCACATATATTCACAAAGTAGTAAATGAAATACATTTTAATTCATTATCTTCTCTTCCTTCCTTGTGTCCACATGAAATGAACTGTCTCTGTAGAAGCTTTGAATTTAGGACTTCCATATAAGGACTGTTTGATCTTTCAATTTTTTTAATTGTATAAGGAAAAAAAATACATGTTTCTTTTAGTTAGACTTAAATGTATATCAATAATGATATATATTTTTCTATATTTTCCAATGAGAAATATTAAAACAGTACACTTTGGGATGTCATAGTTCAGGCTTTTATAAATCTGAAAAATTCTGAAAAATGTCCAAGCACATTCTACAATAAGAATTGCTGTTAATCCCCCTTTTTTCTTTTGCCCAAACCTACAGTGAACTTATCTTACTACCTTGGTCAAATGGGCTTCTGTATTTACTTTCCCTAATGGATAATAAAAACAAAACTAAGGGCCAATGCATAACTTTATAAGAATGTCATCTATAGGAAAGCAGACAATTCATCAGAAAGAACCAATATTTTCATGTGTTTTCAGAATTAAAGAGTTCAAAGAAGCTGTCGATTTCTTCAGTCATGCTCTTAGCTTGGATATACATTTTCTGGATGCTTACATTGGACGGGGAAATTCCTACATGGAATATGGTCATGACAAAGCCACCAAACAAGCCCAGAAGGATTTTATTCGAGCATTGCATTTTTGCCCAGTGTATTTAAGAGCTAGAATTTGTCTTGCCTATAATTTACAGGTATTATCATTTAGCAACATTTTGGTCCATGAGAGAACATTTTACTATTTTTTATTTTATTTTATTTTAATTTTTATTAGTGAAACACCATGAGGTACAGTTGTAGACTTACAAATTTTTGTGTTTTGGTTTCAGTTATACAATGATCGAGTACCCATCCCTCCACCAGTGCCCATTCTCCACCACCAATGATCCCAGTATCCCTCCCACCCCCCCCCAGCCCCCATCCCACCCGGCCTCTGTGGCAGGGCATTCCCTTTTGTTTTCTCGTAAGAGAACATTTTAACAAGATTAAATATTAGATTTGGGGTTTTACTGGTGGTGATAGGAACATTCACCTACCTCTTACTCTCTGATGATTAGAATAGCAGGGGAAATATATATTTGGTCAGTACCTATGAGCCTGTTTGGGAAACTCCTGGACCCAGTGTGCTATTTTGATCTTCTGAACCCCATTTTCCTCACTGCCTGCACTCCTCTCGCTTTACCCTCACACTTAGAGGAATTTCACTAAGAACCTGCAGAACTTTTTCTTTTACTGCTTGATATTGGGACTCCATGGGTTTTTGTTTTATTGAATTGATAAAAGCTAATGGGAATAAATAATGCATTAAAGTTTTGAAGTGGATTCCTATAATATAATAGATCAGACAGACACTGTCCTTCTGAATTCAGGTCATCTTCTAAGGAGCATGGTTCACACTGGGTGTCAATAGATCATGCATTTGTTCTTTCAGAAAGATGGGTGAATGCTACTCTGTGTGCCAGGCAGGGCTTCAAGTGGTTACTAGGACACTCTCACCTGAGTCATGCAATCATTAAGCTATTTGCACCAATTCTCACTCGTGAAACATTATATTGATCCAAAACAATAGACAGAAAACATGTTAAACTATTATAATTTGGAGCTATTTCTTTTAGTAATATGCCATTAGAATATATCTTATATGAAATATAAGATGAATGATTTTGATTGAGTTAAGACTATAAGGTTTGGAGATTACTGCTGAGACTGATGGTTATTGATAGGTATTTATAAATTGGTAGTGTGCCCAAGAACTTACTAATAACAGAAATAAGATTTCCTCCTAAGAGATAGGCTTAAGACTAGTTTTTATGAATTATCAGTCAACATTTTCCTAGTTGGTGTAAAGATACAAGAATGACTCCTAAAGCTGCCTGAGCTGTCACAATTCAGTGAAGTGTGTTAATATTCCTTTTACTTGCATTCAGTAGGAATTTACTGTGCACCTCCTGTAGGACAAGAACTGCAGCTGTGTAAAATATAGTTGGTTCTTCTTTCAGAGTTAATGATAAGCATTAAGTAAGCAAGTATATACATAATAGTTCAGTTACAATAAGTACAGCCCAAGAGTAGAATAGATCTCAGGATGACTTACATTAAGTGAACTTTGCGGGATGAAGAAGGTCTTTTGAGAAATAAAAATTTAACTTGAGTCATTATTAGACTGGTAATTATTCAGGGATAGGAGCTGGTGATAAGATAGGGTATTGAATAGTCAATTAGAAGTCACGTGAGAATGAGATAGAAGACCAAAGTACATAGAAAGCTGTGGAGAAAGGAGAAAGCAATGTGATCTGAGGGTGGAGAAAGGAGAAAACAATGTGATCTGAGGGTAGAGAATGGAATAAATAGAGATAGGAGCAAAGGGCTTTTCAAGCCTATTGAAGATGTGAATAATCTTAGAGAAGTGATATAAGTCCTATGTCTTATGAAGATAAAACAACCTGGGGTTTATGCGGTCTGAAAGAGGATGGAAAAATACATTGGCCTGAGGAAATATTGAATTATAAAAAAGGAACAATAAAAGAAACTGAAGGAAGATCCATACTGTTCAGGAGAGAGAATGACCATTTATTCAATAAATACTTGTAGATTCTTTCACTATGTTCCTCATGCTAGGGGTATAGAAGCAAGCAAAACAGACATTAGAAGTAGATAACAGATACACGAGGCTTTGTGCAATGTGATATTCTAATACCTTACTCTTGATTTGCCTAATTTTTTGATTTTCAAATGAATTTATGGAGATAATTTTTATTTTATTTTCATATAATTTACCCAAAGGGAGAAAATTTGCTGGTCAAACAGCTATCTCATTATCTTGCTGATTATATTTGTTTTTCCTTCTTTTGGCAGGGAGGGGGTGTCCCACAAGGTGGTTCTTAGGGGCTGCTTCTAGCCTGTTGATTGATGGTCACTCCTGGCAGTGCTCAGGGATCCACGTGGTTCCAGGGATCAAGCCAGGCTTTGCAAATGGAGAGCTTGTATTCCAGCCCTTTGAACTATCTCCCAGCACTATTTCTTACTATTTTTATGCAAGAGTCAACTTGGATGTAAGTTAGTTTCTGAGAGTTGGCGAGTTGGGTTTTTGAGCCCATGAGAATAAAGGGCAGGTTATATTGAATTTAGTAACTCTGCCTTCTAGTGGTGAGAAGGTTGCCAGTGGCCCTCTCTAGGAAATACTCTGACTTCTTGTTGCTAGTGACCCTCGTCTGACTCCTCTTCCCTTCACCTCCCCTTCCCTTTTTTTATCCCCTAGTCCCTCCCTATTCCTACTCTCCTTCCTCTTTCCACCTCTTCCATCACCCCCCCATCCTATCCCCTCCCATTTCTTTTTCTTTGATTTCCCTGTTTTCTTATTTTCTTTCCTTCCCTTTACTTTGCTGTTGGGATGACTGAGGATATCACACACTTGGTTGTGTTGTTCACACATGTTCTCACATAAGGTTACATTCTGAACCTCCACACACCTTTAGATATGTTGTTTTCTAGAGATCATGCATTTTGTTGGGGGAGTAGTTTAAAGTTGGAGAGCAGAGCTAGACAGGAGAGACAGCAGAGCTCCAGAGAACAAAACTTGCCACATATGAGTGGCTTAATTGAACTTCTGGCTCATACTTGCAGGGGTTTTTCCATTGAGCCATATTCTAGACTTCGAACTCCTTTTCTGTCTTTCTCCACTTTACTTTTCTTTGGCATTTAGTTGGATTGGGGCAAAAGTCCATATCAAGAGAAATTTGGTAGATTAACATGCTTGTTCCATGGATTATATAGCTTTCAGATGCTGGTATAGTTTTTCAGAACATAATTTTCATAGTTGATTCAGTTATTCATTTTAAATATATTGTTATGGATTATATATATATATGTGTGTGTGTATATGTGTTCTAGGCAAATATGATCCCTGCTCCCCATCCCCTCTCTTTATGAATGTGTGTGTGTGTGTGTGTGTGTGTGTGTGTGGAGTGCAAAGTAAAATTTGTGACCCTTATTAGAAGCACTTATTTTCCTTCTTTCTTTTTTTTCCTGTGAAGCAAAGTAGTTTTATTTAAAGAAATTTTCTTGGTGTGTATGTGTGTGTATGTATGTGTGTGTATGTGTGTGTTGTTGTTGTTGTTATTGTTGTTGTTGGTGGTGGTGGTGGTGATGATAATGGTGGGAGGGAGGGTGGAGGAGTGTTCAAGAGAGATCATGGGCTTCTCCAGAAAGAAGAGGAGACTGTATGTCTCCGGTTGAGATGCTGGTGGTGAATGAGAACCACTGACTTCCACATGGTGTTTGTTGAGGTTTTATGTTGTCCAAGATTGATATAAAAGATGACTGACAATTAGATTTATTTAAATTAAAAGTTCAGCATAAATACCTAAAAGGTAATTAGTCAATTGAATGTATTCTCAGTGTAGTCTGCTTCCTTGTTTAGAATATTGTAGGTTTAGCATAATATAAATATACCTTTACTGAAGGTTTTATTTGATTAGGTTAGAATCATAAACATTTGTCATGTTATGGGCCATTTACTAATTCACATAAATGAAAAATTATTTTAGGCCCAAGGAAAATTCCAGAAAGCTTGGAACCACTTTACTATTGCCATAGACAGTGATCCAAAGTGCTACAAAGCCTATGAAGGTAGAGCTGTGGTCTGTCTTCAGATGGGTGATTACTTTGCTGCAATTCAGGATATTAACATTGCCATAAAGGTAAAAATATGTTTAGATCACATTTTCATTAGCATAAATTCACACCGTAAATGAATAGGGTCAAGCGAGAAGTTCTCTATTACTTTTAAAAAGTGACTTGTATAAATGAAAGCAAATTCTTGGATTCTTACTATAGAACTGAGCCTCTCAAATGGGGAAGAGTGAGGGGTTGAGAAGAGGAGAGGATATAGTTCATTGGGTGTGGTGGGGTAGGTGGGTGGGCAGTATTGGTACTTTGGAGGTGGATGTGATGAACATACACTTGAAGCGGGTATGAACTTGTAATTTACATGCAGTCTTGTAAACCAATTCCCACAAGTAGATCATTAACTAAAGTGATGCCTAAAAATTGTTATTTATTCCCCCCAAAGCAGTTCTTAGGGTAAAGTGTTCTAAGGGATTGTTGCTTTTATAACCATAAATTTGCACTTAAGTTTTAAAACACAAGTCCGGAAATTTTGAATCCTCTCAGTCAATCACCTCTCAACAGATTCATCTTTAGTGAAATGGCATATAAAACCTCAGGTTTTGTATCTAATGACAGAAATTCTTCCTATTTTTATCCTAGACTTTGACACTGCAGATCCTGGTATAAAGTATAATTCTTGTGATGAGAAAAAAGGATTATGAAGAAATAGCAGATAATTGCTACTACATAGGACAAACAAATATGTTAGCTATTTGACTTCTTTTTACAACTTAGTATAGTAGAACAGCTAAGCTTTCCCCCTCCCCTGCCCCCTCTCCCTGGTTTATTCCTCAGAATGGGACTGAGTAAAATACTGAGATTGTTTGTTTTATTGCAACCGAATCAACAAAGTGTTGACATTGAATCAGCTCCATACTGAGCCCTTTCTTAAAATATTTGCTCAAATGAGGTTTTACCTGCCCTCTAAAATTACTGGCTTCCCGCAAGTAAATTTCATAATGCTCATTTTTGCAGACACGAAATTGGAGATAAATACTATTCCCAGATTCTAAGTACTCATACTATTAAATTGCAGATCAATACTACAGCAGAATTCTTAACAAATCGTGGTGTGATTCATGAGTTTATGGGTCAACAACAGAATGCAATGAAAGACTATCAAGCTGCACTTTCTCTAAACCCCACATACTCGCTGGCTTACTTTAATGCAGGAAATATCTACTTTCACCACAGGCAGTTTTCCCAGGTAATGTGAGTTTTCCTTAATGTTTTCATTTTGACACTAAATGCTCTCTTTGTTATCTCTAATTTAAAAATGCAATACTTGTATTTCCTTGCTAGTTATTCATTAGCTCTTCTTTTCAAAAAAGTCCTTTCATCAAAGTGCATTGAGTGATCTTTAAATAATTTATTAAGTCCTTAATACCTCTAAGGATTTATTTTCATCATTGTAAACAAACATTTAAACCTATAGCCAGTAAAAATTTTTCTGTATTTCTCCAAGTGTCTGTGGTCCGTTGCTATCAATTTTCATCTTGGAATCTGCTGTCATTTATGCTCAACTTAGCTAAATCTTAGATATCTTAAAAGACTTTCCTTTATGATGTGATTATTTTATTAATTCTAATTTTACCTTTTATAAATTGCAGTTTTGCACTGGGAGTAAGAAACTCTAGATATTAGTTCTGGTTTTAGGACATCTTAATCTTTTCTAGACCTCAATGAATAATGCCTGGAATAAAAGTGTTGGATAATTAGATGGTACTTTTTATACTTTGAATTCATTTTATTTGAATTCTAATGCATCATATGATTCAAATTATTAACCTCTCACTTTTTTGTTCTATTTTTCTTTAACTTATCATATTCTTTGTCTATTCTTTAAGTTAATTCTGTTCACTTGTAAATTTTCGTTTCATTTGATAAATTATTAGTTAGATTGTGGAAAGGTTATGCCTTTCCCCATGTACTGCTTTTTATGCAGTGTGTTTTGGTCTGTAACGCTTTTGCTTTCCCCAAATTTTGTACCTGCAATTACTTACCCTTTGACTGAAGAATAAATTCATAGAGTACTTAAAATGTCCAGGTGGAAAGGCTTGTATGTTTTCTAATTTTGGAATTTGTTTTGGATTTTAAAATCTGGTTTTATTTATTGCTATATATGTGTATATATATCTTTAAATTCCCTGGTATATTAGTTATATATACATATATACATGATATACCTTGTTAATTATAATTCTAATTGATCAATACTCATGCTTCCCCCATTTTATTATCTTATTCAAGTATTCTAATTTAATCTGTTTTTATAGATTTTTCTTTATGTATCTTGTAATTTGTGCTTTGAAATGTTATTTTACATTCTTTCATGTATATATATACATATATACACACGTATATATGGTATATGATTACAAATTATACCTTTCATCATTATAAATGTTCTTGTATATTTTTAATGCTCTTTGGAATAAAAGCTACAGCTTATGATATTAAGATTGCTTTTTCTGTTTCCATGTTATTTACTCTTGCCTGTTATTCCTTTGACCTTCTGTTTATTTCTAAGGTTTAGATCCCTTTGTTTTAGATATGTCTCTTTCACAGAACATAAAGTTGTGTTTTACTTTTGAGCCAATTTGAAAGTACTCTTAATAGGCAGGTTCAGTCCATTTAAGTATTGGCATGACAAATATTTTTGGTCTTCTATTATTTCATGTCATACTTTTGTTTTCGTATTGTAAAGTATTTTGTAATCTATTTAATTTTTTCAGAGTTTTTTATATTTAGTAAGGTTTATAGTTATATTCTAATGATTACTTTATACTCTTAAGTTCTAAAACTCTTTTGAAAGTTTCCTACTTACTTTAGGTTTCTTCCCCCCCACCACACGAACAATAATAAGACTGCCTTTTAACTTGCCTTCTAACACTGTCTCTCCCGTTAGCCAATTCTCACTAACAGTATTTTTAAAAAATAAATGTTTATATTTTTTTCTCAAAGTTTTAAATTTAATTTTCTTTAAAACTTTTCTTTGTCTTCTTTACAACTCTCTTCTATCTAGTTAATCTTTTTTTTTTGTATTTTTAAAAGTATTTGTTATTATCTAGTGTACCTTAAAACTGAGGTTTTTTTTCTTTTATTGAATAAATGTGAGATAGTTACAAAGCTTTCATATTCAAGATTCAGCTGTACAATGATCAAATACCCATCCCTCCACCAGTGCACACTTTCCACCACCACCCTTTTCCCCATCCTCAACCTGCCTCTGTGGCAGACAATTTCCCCAATACTCTTTCTCTACTTTGGGGCATTATGTTTTGCTCAAATTTTCCCACCACCATTCAAGCCTGCTTTCCAGAGACAGATGCTAGATCATTTGTTGTCCCTTGTTGAAAGGGCTGGAGTGATAGCACAGAGTGCTGGAGCGATAGCACAGCAGTAGGGCATTTGCCTTGCACGCAGCCAACATGGCCAACCCGAGTTCGATTCCTCTGCCCCTCTCAGAGAGCCCGGCAAGCTACCGAGAGTCTCTCACCCGCCCGGCAGAGCCTGGCAAGCTCCCCGTGATGTATTCGATATGCCAAACACAGTAACAACAAAGTCTCCAATGGAGACGTTACTGGGCCTGCTCAAGCAAATCGATGATCAATGGGAGGGCCTTTACTTTTACTTACTTTACGTTCATTTTGACTATCATGGGTGCCATGGCCATGCGCTTCTGGAATCCTAGATTGTAGATGGTTGGGTTCCAGAGACATTTCTGTAGAGCACTAATCCATTTTGGCATTCAATTGGGCGTCTCTGGACCAGGGCTGTTTAGTGCGCTAAGATGGCTCCCGGAAGCACATTATGGGGTTCACAGTCAGGCCGACGAGTGGGCGGGGAGCTGGGGAGGAACAGCCTGGCACGTCTGCATCCATGTGGCTTGGAGATTCAGTCCTGGAACCCGCATACCTGGGCCTTGCTTGTGGAAGCTCTTGGTCACAGGGTTTCCATCTGTAGTATGCACGGAGAGTCCACCTGCTCCATCTGGGGTGCCCTGGTGAAATTGGCTTGGTATGGGGTTCAGAGAGATCTTCGGCTCTGTATTGTTCTTCCAGGATGCACTGTTATGTCTCTGGCTTTTGATCTCTTTCTAGATTTATTTATGGGTCTCTGAACCAGTAATAGAGTTTACAGGGTGGCACTGGATTTGGATCGTGGGATTGACTGCCAGTGCTTCCATGTGTATTGGGATGTGGGGGGAGATAGCCCACCCCAACTCCATAAAAACCTGTAGATTTCAGTCACAAAACCCGCATACACGAATTTTCAGCAGATTATATCTTGGTGAGGTACATCCTGAGTTGGTGGAGTCAGGCTGGGGATATGGCAGCGATTTTGGATTGTGGAAGCAAGTGGCTGCTGGGGGCTCTGCTTGGGCAGGCACAGGCCAACCTGCCTCCCTCTGATTTATCCCAGTCTGTTCAGACATGCGCGGGTCCAAGATTATTGTGGCTTTTGGTTTCTTTTACGGTTTATCTATGCGTCTCTGAAACAAGACCAATAAATGAGCTTGTATAGCTGAACCAGAGGTGGTTTGTGGGTGGCTCCCACAAACCAAACTTTTTGCCATTTACTTTCTTGGTAAACTTGGCCCCAAGTTGTTGGGATCTGGCCAAAGGCACAGCGGAAATTTTGGGGTGTTAGGAATCCTAAAGGCACCATCAGGCTGCTAATGCACTTGTCCTGCAGGTGCGAGTGACCTGTTGACCTGTTGGCAAACCATATTCCCTAAAACTCAGGTTTCTTAAAGCTATTTTTAATTTTGATGTAACATCTTTCTGATCACTTTTTCTTAGATCTTTCATTCAGAAATTTTTTTCTGAATGTAATTGCTTCCTTAGCATTTTTCCTTTTTATAGTTCATTTTGAAATGTTATTTTATAGTTTTATATTGTAGCAGTATAACTTTTGGTAAGGTTTTAATCATCTTTTCAAAAATTAAGCAGTTATTTTTTGTTTTATTTATTTTTATTTTGCTTGTATTTGGTGCCATATCCAGTGATGCTCAGTGGTAACTCCTGGCCATGCATTCAGGAATTACTCCTACCAGTGCTTGGGGGACAATATGGGATGCCAAGGATTAAACCCAGGTTGGCCATGTGAAAAGCAAGCTTCATTCTTGCTGTCCTATAAACAGTTATTTTTTTATCCTTTTTTATTGCAAGGATAGCAGGTAAATCACCTGTTACTCACATGTGAATATGAGAAATTATTTTCTTGGACTAATGATGTATATTTTTACTGAGTAATAGAAGATCAGCTACCAGAACGTTCAACTGGGCTCACTGTTTCACTCTATGACTGACCCAGTTTCACTTAGTTGTAGAAGGCTCTTACAATATGCTCTGTGTTTTTCAGATCTTTTCATATCCTCATTTTACATACTTCTAAAACAACTTGCTCATTTTCAAAACTTGCTTTTATTCCTCTTAAGCAATTTTGAGACCTGTCACCTCCCTGCTACCCAATACTGTTACCTGACCCCTTAATAAAATGATTTATGGGGCACATTTAGGTGCCACAAGGTTAAGGTTCTAATCGATATTTTGCTTTAAAAAAGTTCAACAAATAATTTTGATTCTGCTTAGCTCTTCATTCTTCCAGTCTCCACATATTTATGAGGAAATTGCCGAGTGCAATTTAAGAACCTGAAGATACAGAACCAGACAAGGAAGGCTTCTGACAAAACTTATATCTTACTGAATAACGAAAGAAAAAATAAATACCCATATTCACACATACCTAATCCTTGCTCATACAAGCATTAAGATCAATTTTTGCTTATGTGTGGGGCCATATGAGATGAGCTGCTTGAATAAGACTAACTGTTCATGTCAGATGCTACTGTGAGGTCTAGGAAACAGGGTGAGGAGCTCATGGTTGATTTTAGCTAGAATGCTGTGGGAATAGCAGTGGAAGCAGATGCTTGATTGGAAAGGGTGGTGGATGAAATCTGAGGTGGAGAATTAGATACAGTTCAGCCAGTTCCAGATACACCCCTGGAAATGAAGTCACAGCTAGAGTGGGTCTATGACTCTGGCAGTAGGGTCACTATAAGAGATTGATATGGAAATAATCAACCTAGAGTGGGGTGTAACTAGTTGATTTATTTTTTGAAGATATATGATTCAGTTTATGTTCCTGTGTTAATGAAAGGATCTTATCAAAGTGAAAAAATATTTAGTGCAGAAGAGAATGGCGACTATAGTTAGGATCCATATATTTGAGAGTTTGATGGTATTTGCCTTTGGAAGTTGCAGGAGGTGAGGCCTGGGTTTAGTGGGTCCCACACTTCTGAGTCAAGAAGGAAGGTAGAGAGTGGAAGCACAGCTGAGCATAGGTAAATGCATTTGGTAAGTACAGCACGTTTCTGTTTCTTATCCATAAGATAAAAGCATCAAAAGTTGTCGAAAACTCTCTGTATTGGCAGAGATAAGAGTGGAGAAGGTGGTTAGAACTTTTGAGGAGAAAATAGAAAATGTGAAATAATTGTCTCACAGAGCGAGTGGTAAGCAGAACTTCCTGGGGCATTGTAATCAGTTATAAGACACCATTAAGTTTTCATTGTCTAATGTTTTTGACTGTCAAGAGACTCCTCAACTCACCACTGCTTTGCACATACTTCTTCATTAAAGATTCAGTACTGCTTTGGGTCACTTAAAAATTATTTTCATATCAATCTCTTATCTCTTCACTCAGATTAGGTTGTAAAGTCTTTAGTTCTAAGACTCATACTCTGCCCTTTCTCTTTACATTTCTTTACTCAGGAAGCCCATGAATCCCCATGTTTTATATCTATCAGCTTGCACCTTTCTTCTGAACTCTTAACCTGTGTTTATCACTGGCAGCTAAAACTGGTCTTTTCTAAAGTGCATTAGATCCCAGCCGAGTTGATCTCTGTATCCCTCGGTCTCCCAATCCAGCTCTTCTTCCTGTATGCCTCAGTGTCAGATGTGAACTTTCTCAGTTACCTGAATAAGAATATCAGCACCAACTACAACTTCCCTTTTTTCAGCTCCTCCTTCTAAGCAGTTACCTAATCAAGTTTGTTTCCCTCTGCCTTTAAATCTGTGCCTTCTATTCTTTGTCTGTTGTCCTTGCCTCCATTTAATTGAGCTTGCTTTTTCTAAGATCATGACTCAATACCGCTTGCTGGTTCCTGTGGTGAGCTGGCTTGACCCCAGTGGTGAACCTGGTCCCAGACAAAGAGTGTTGGAAAAAGTCATTCTGAGTGGCCTAATGACATGATGGTGATTCAAATCCTCTGGGGCATTTGGCAGACCAGGACCAGTTGCCTTAAATGCATCAATCCCAGACTATTGGCTTCTAAAAGACCAGTCTCTTCACTATAAACACCAAAGGCAAGGAAAATACCCAAGGCAGTGTTTTTATGGAGGAACTCTTCCTCCCCCAACATTTATTGTCATATATTTAAGACTCACATGAGAGGGAAACCTAATCTTTTAAATTTGTCTTTGTCTCTGACCTTGAGACAGGCTATCTTCCTAGGTGTTTTTATTTAAACCTCTGTTTTTTTTCTGTCAGCTTCCTTTACTGGGCTAATTTCCTCTGTTTCCCAGTGTTTACTCATCAGATGACTTCAATTCTGAAACACTGGTACCCTGTCTCAAGGTTAGAGAATTCTGAGAACGGAGGAGAGAACAAGAGTTGTCTAGGCCACTGAAATACCTTGTCAGGGAAGAACTTGATAATGTCCATTGGACTTGAGGCAACCTTAATAAGGGCACAGCTCATAAACTAGGAGTTGGTAAAGAGAAGCCAGACTGTGGTGTGTTATGAAAAAATCAAGTGACGAGAAAAATTTGTTTAAAGTACTACTAAACATTACTTTTCCTTTAAGATGCATTGTATTTTTTAAATTTAAAAAAATTTTAAGTGTTTGGGTCACACATAGCAGGAGTCTCCCTGGTTTGGGTCAGGGGACCTTGCAGTGATTTGATTAAACCCAGACCATTCTCATGCTAATGACATGCTCAGGCATTGAACTATCTATCTAGCTCTCATTTTAAGGAGGTATTTATTTATTTATTTTTGTGGTATTACCTTATTTTAAAATACTTTTTTGGTATAATTTAAATGTTGTTTTGAAAACTCATATATGGTTCTCAAAGTTTCCAACTTTATACGGCATGTTTATTTTCTAATTTATATCATTGTATACATTTTCTTATATTTTATATTTTTTATAGTAATACTGTGTATTTATTTATTTTGGTTTGACTTTTCGACCACACATGGTGTTGCTCACAGGTTATGATTGGCTTTGTACTCAGGAATCACTCCTGGCAGGCTCAGGGGACCGTAGGGGATGCCAGAATCAAGCCTGGCTTGGCCACTTTCAAGGGCAGCCCCTTTACCCACTATACTCTCTGTCTGGCCCCTAAGATACTTTTTAAGGAAGGGAAATATTCATCTTTTATGAAGAGTTTCCTACCTTTAGTAGGAAAGTGTCTGATCAACATCTGGAGATGTTTGTGATGAAGTTTCAACTTTATGCTGCTGTTTTAAAAAAAATTTATTTGTTGATCAAGCTCCAATTCTAGTCATAGACTAGTCTAGAAGACTATACTTGGAATATTTCGTTCATTGTATTTATTAATGAACAACTGTAAGGAAATTTAGAATTTTAAATCTTGTTGAGCATCTTATTTTTTCCCTTTATTTTATTTTTTTTTACAGTTGTAGATTTACAATTTTTTGTGCTTGGGTTTCAATTATACAATGATCAGATACCCATCCCTCCACCAGTGACCATTTTTCACCACCATGGATAAAATCCCTCCCACCCCCATCCCCCATCCCCCCCGTCTCTGTGGCAGGGCAATCCCCTGTGTTCTCTCTCTCCTTTTGGGTGTTGTGGTCTGCAAAAGAGGCATTGAGTGGCAAACATGTTCAGTCCATAGTCTACTTTCGACATGCATCTCCCCTCCTGGGAGGATCCTCCAAATATCCTTTATTTGGTGCTCCCTTCTCTATCTGAACTGCCCTTTCCTCTAGGATACCCGGCTGGCCTCTAAGTTATGGAGTAATCATCCTGGTGCTGATCTCAGCTATTCTTGGGTATTAATCTCATACTTTGTTACTTTATATCCCCCAGATGAATGCAATCTTTCTATGTCTATCCCTCTCTTTCTGAGTCATTTCGCTTAGCATGATACTTTCCATATTGTACCACTTATGTAAATTTCATGACTTCATCTTTTCTAACAGCTACATAGTATTCCATTGTGTAGATGTACCAAAGTTTCTTTAACCAGTCATCTGTTCTTGGGCATTCAGGTTTCTTCCAGTTTCTGGCTATTGTATAGAGTGCTGCAATGAACAAACAAGTGCAGATGTCACTTCGACTATACATTTTTGCCTCTCTGGGATATATTCCCAGGAGTGGTATTGCTGGGTCAAATGGGAGCTCAATTTCTAATTTTTTGAGAATCGTCCATACTGTTTTCCAGAAGGGCTGAACCAGTGGACATTCCCACCAACAGTGAAGGAGTGTCCCTTTCTCGCCACATCCACGCCAGCACCGGTTGCTTTTGTTCTTTTGAATGTGGGCCAGTCTCTGAGGTGTGAGATGGTATCTCATTGTGGTTTTGATCTGCATCTCTCTGATGATTAATGATGGAGAGCATTTTCTCATGGAGCATCTTATTTTTATCATTGTCTTCCCATATATATTTTTGTGGTATTACCTTATTTTAAAATACTTTTTTGGTATAATTTAAATGTTGTTTTGAAAACTCATTTATTGTTCTCAAAGTTTCCAACTTTATATAGCATGTTTATTTTCTAATTTATATCATTGTATACATTTTCTTATATTTTATATTTTTTATAGTAATACTATGTATTATGAGATTTGGTGGGATTTGGAGGGTAGTGTAGCATTTCACCTTAGCAGGGAAGAATATTTAATCATTGACATTATCTAGAAGGCTGACATGTGATGATAACAAAAGAAGACTTTGGTCAGTTTCCTTACAGTTTTTTTGCTTTGCTTTTTTGGGGGGTGGGGAATACCCAGTGATATCAGGGGTTACTTATGGCTCTGTGCTCAGGAATTACTCCTCGTGGTGCTTGAGGTTCCATATGGGGTGTCAGAGATTGGCTGCATGCAAGGCAAATGCCTTATCTGCTGTACTATCTCTCCAGCTCCTCAAATATTTTTAGACTACCTCCTTATTATCTGTGACTAGATATAATGATTCTACTAAACTTAATTTTATAGAGTATTGCAAGTAGCTATATCACTAATCTTTAAAGTGTATTTGAAGTATCATTATCTTTACATTTTATAGGCCCGTGATTACTTCTCAAAGGCTTTAAAGTTTGATCCAGAAAATGAATGTGCTGCCTTGAATCGAGCCATTGCAAACACATTGCTAAAGAAATATGAAGAAGCAAAAGAAGATTTTGGACATATAGCTGAAATCTGTCCCTTTTGGTCTGCAGTGTATTTTAATAGAGCACATTACTACTGTTGTTTAAAACAATTTGAACTAGCAGAAGAAGACTACAGTAAAGGTATTTTCTATGGTGACATTTTGTGTAATATTACAGTAGTTTATGTGATTGGTTTTAGATAAGGAGAAAGTTATCGTTCTCTTTATCTAGGTAAATTTATAGAATAAATGTTTCTTACATATTATATTTAATGTGATCTTTATATATTTTGTGGTATCTTAAAGCTCTAGTAATCTGAGATATGAAAATTATAAGGAAACTATATGCAAATCATGTAAGTTAGTTTTCTTAGAATCAATGTTTTAAATTTAATAACTAAGTATATTTTAAGAAAAATATTTAAAAATAAATGATACTCTGGCTATTGTAAAGAGTGCTGCAATGAACATTCATCAGGGGAACATAAAGTAACAAAATAGAGGACTAACATCCAAGAATGGCCGAGATTAGTACCAGGAATTTTGCTCCATGGCTTGGAGGCCAGCTATACATGCTAGGGGAAAAGGGGGAAAAGGGAGCTCAGATAGAGAAGAGAGCACCAAATAAAGAGTGTTGGGAGGATCTTCCCAGGATGGGAGAAGCATGATGAAAGTAGAATATAGACCAAACATGATTACCACTCAGTGCCGCTTTTGCAAACCACAACACCCAAAAGGAGAGAGAGAACAAAAGGGAATGCCCTGCCACAGAGGCAGGGTGGGATGGGGGTGGGAGGGATACTGGGATCCGTGGTGGTGGGAAATGGGCACTGGTGGAGGGATGGGTATTAGGTCATTGTATAATCAAAACCCAAGCACAAAAATTTGTAAGTCTACAACTGTACCTTAGGGTGTCTCACTAATAAAAAATAAATAAATGATACTCAAATCATATTACTATGCTTATTTTTAATGAGAATATTTTTGAGTGGTAGTATAAAGCATCTCTTGAAATATTTTTCTTTTGCAGCGCTGTCTTTGAAGCCAAATGACACTCTAATATATAATCTTAGAGCAGAAGTTCGAGGTAAATTAGGTCATATTAGTGAAGCTATGGCTGACTACAACAAAGCACTTGATCTTCAAGATTATGCTATAGTTAAGTGATTCCAAGGCTGTGATTTCTGCATCGGTTTACATATCTTCCATAAATTGAAATGTATTCATTGTTTAAAAGATTCTACTATCTTCATTAATAAATTTATTATGTGTATTCATTAATGACTCTTTAATGCATTTATTTTTATTTTATTTTTTTCTTTATTTTATTTTATTTTATTTTATTTTTTTATTAGTGAAAAACCATGAGGTACAGTTATAGGCTTACAAATTTTGTGCTTGGGTTTCAGTTATACATTGATCAAGTGCCCATCCCTCCACCAGTGCCCGTCATCCATCCCCACGGGTCCCAGCACCCCCCCCCCTCATCCCCCCCCACCATCCTGCCTCTGTGGCAGGGTATTCCCCCTTGTTCTCTCTCTCTTCTTTTGGGTACTGTGTTTTGCAAGAGAGGCTTTGAGTGGCAATCATGTTTGGTCTATCGGCTACTTTTAGCATGCTTCTCCCACCCTGGCAGGGCCCTCACAACAGCCTTCATTTGGTACTCTCTTCTCTATCTGAGCTTCCTTTTCACCTAGAGCCTGTGGCTGGCCTTCTTTCATGGAGCAAAATTCCTGGTACTAATCTCAGCCATTCCTGGGTGTTAATCTCCCTTTTTGTTGCTTTATGTTCCCCAGATGAATGCAATCTTTCTGTGTCTATCCCGCTCTTTCTGACTCATTTCGCTTAACATGATACTTTCCATGTAGTACCACTTGTATGTAAATTTCATAACTTCATCTTTTCTAACAGCTACAGAGTACTCCATTGTGTAAATGTACCAAAGTTTCTTTAACCAGTCATCTGTTCTTGGGCACTCAGGTTTTTTCCAGATTCTGGCTACTGTAAAGAGTGCTGCAATGAGCAAACAAGTGCAGATGTCACTTCGACTATACCTTTTTGCTTCTCTGGGATATATTCCCAGGAGTGCTATAGCTGGGTCAAATGGCAGATCAAATTCTAATTTTTTGAGAGTCGTCCATACTGTTTTCCAAAAGGGTTGGACCAGCCGGCATTCCCACCAGCAGTGAAGGAGGGTCCCTTTCTCGCCACATCCGCGCCAGCACCGGTTGCTTTTGTTCTTGTGGATGTGGGCCAGTCTCTGTGGTGTGAAATGATATCTCATTGTGGTTTTGATCTGCATCTCTCTGATGATTAGTGATGTAGAGCATTTTCTCATGTGCCTTTTTGCCATTCGAATTTCTTCTTTGCGAAAGTTTCTGTTCATTTCCTCACCCCATTTTTTGATGGGGTTGGGTGATTTCTTCTTGTGGAGTTTAACCAGTACCTTGTATATCCTTGATATCAACCCCTTGTCGGATGTGTACTTGGTGAATATCCTTTCCCATTCTGTAGGCTGTCTTTGTATTTTGGTCAATGTTTCTTTTGAGGTGCAGAAGCTTCTTAGTTTAAGATAGTCCCATTTGTCTATCTCTGTTTTCACTTGCTTAGCCAGTGGCGTGACATCTTTGAAGATACCATTAGCTTCAATATCATGGAGAGTTTTGCCGACTTTGTCTTCAATAAACATTATGGATTCTGGTCTGATGTTGAGGTCATAAATCCATTTTGATCTTACTTTTGTGCATGGTGTTAGGCAGAGATCTGAGCCCACTTTTTTGCACGTAGCCGTCCAATTTTGCCAGCACAGTTTATTGAAGAGGCTTTCCCTTCTCCATTTCACTTTTCTTGCCCCCTTATCAAAATTAGATGATTATATGTTTGGGAGGAAATGTCAGTATATTCAACTCTGTTCCATTGGTCTGCAGCTCTGCTTTTGTTCCAGTACCATGCTGTTTTAATTATTACTGCCTTGTAGTAGAGTTTGAAGTTAGGGAGATTGATTCCTCCCATTTTCTTTTTCCCAAGAATTGCCTTAGCTATTTGTGGGGGCTTATTGTTCCATATAAATTTCAGGAGTGTTTGCTCCATTTCTTTGAAGAATGTCATGGGTATCCTTATAAGGATTGCATTGAATTTGTACAGTGCTTTGGGAAGTATTGCCATTTTGATGATGTTGATTCTCCCCATCCATGAACAGGGGATATTTTTCCATTTCCTCGTGTCCTCTTTTATTTCCTGAAGTAGCGTTTTGTAGTTTTCTTTGTACAGGTCCTTTACTTCCTTAGTTAAGCTGATTCCTAGATACTTGATTTTCTGGGGCACAATTGTGAATGGGATTGTTTTCTGGATGTCACTTGCTTCTCTTTCACTATTTGCGTATAGGAATGCCATGGATTTTTGGGTATTGATTTTATAGCCTGCCACTTTACTATACAAGCCTATTGTTTCTAGGAGTTTCTTGGTAGAGGTTTTAGGGTTCTCTAAGTATAGTATCATGTCATCTGCGAATAGTGAGAGCTTAATTTCTTCTTTCCCTATCTGGATGCCCTTAATATCTTTTTCTTGCCTAATCGCTATTGCAAGTACTTCCAGTACTATATTGAACAGTAGTGGAGAGAGTGGGCATCCTTGTCTCGTCCCTGACCTTAGGGGGAAGGGTCTCAGTTTTTCCCCATTGAGGATGATGTTTGCTGTAGGTTTGTGGTAGATGGCTTTAACTATATTGAGGAAAGTCCCCTCTATCCCCGTTTTGGCAAGGGTTTTCATCATGAATGAGTGCTGGATCTTGTCAAAAGCTTTCTCTGCGTCTATTGATATGATCATATGATTTTTATCTTTTCTTTTGTTGATATGGTGGATTATGTTGATTGATTTCTGAATGTTGAACCATCCTTGCATCCTTGGGATGAATCCCACTTGGTCATGATGTATGATCTTTTTGATGAGTTGTTGTATTCTATTGGCTAGTATTTTGTTGAGAATCTTCGCATCCGTGTTCATCAGGGATATTGGCCTGTAGTTTTCTTTTCTTGTGGTGTCTTTGTTTCCTTTTGGTATTAGAGAGATATGGGCTTCATAGAAGCTGTTTGGGAGAGTTTCTGTTTTTTCAATTTCCTGGAAAAGCTTGAGAAGAATTGGCAATAGGTCCTCTTTAAATGTTTGGAAAAATTCGCTAGTAAATCCGTCTGGGCCTGGGCTTTTGTTTTTGGGAAGACTTTTGATTACAGTTTCAATTTCCTTGATGTGAATAGGTCTATTCAGGTACTCTATATCTTCTTGATTCAGCTTTGGGAGATGATAGGAATCCAGGAATTTATCCATTTCTTCCAGGTTCTCGTGTTTCGTGGCATAGAGACTTTCAAAGTAGTCTCTGATGATCTCTTGAATTTCTTTAGTTTCTGTTGTGATATCCACATTCTTATTTCTGATTCGATTTATTAGGGTTCTCTCTCTCTCTGTTTCTTTGTGAGTGTTGCTAGTGGTTTATCTATCTTATTTATTTTCTCGAAGAACTAGCTCTTGGTTTCATTGATCTTTCGGATTGTTTCTTTATTTTCCATGTCGTTGATTTCTGCTCTAAGTTTTATGATCTCTTTCCTTCTGCCTGATTTAGGCTCTTTCTGTTGATCCTTTTCTAAGGTCTTGAGCTGTGAGGTCAAATTGTTTATGTGCATCATTTCTATCGACTTAAGATATGCTTGCAGAGCTATAAATTTTCCCCTTAATACAGCTTTCGCTGCATCCCATAAGTTCTGGTAGTTTGTGTCTTCATTCTCATTTGTTTCCAGGTATCTTTTGATTTCATCCTTGACTTCGTTCCTGACCCACTCATTGTTCTGCATCGAGTTGTTTAATTTCCAGGTGTTTGATTTGGTTCTCCGTGTCTTTGTGTGATTCACTTCTATCCTCAGTGCATCATGGTCTGAAAAGATGGCTGATACTATTTCTATCTTCTTGATTCTGTTGAGGTATGTTTTGTGTCCTAGCACATGGTCTATTTTGGAAAATGTTCCGTGCGCACTGGAGAAGAATGTGTATTCTTTCTTTTTGGGGTTTAAAGCCCTGTATAAGTCCATAAGCCCTTTCTCTTCTATTACTTCTTTCAAAGCCAATAATTCCTTGCTGGGTTTTATTCTTGTTGATCTATCCAGAAGTGATAAGGCGATGTTGAAGTCTCCAAGTACTATTGTGTTGGAAGTGATGTCCTCCTTAAAATCTGTTAGCAGTTGTTTTAAATATTTAGCTGTTCCCTCATTAGGTGCATATACATTTAAGAGTGTGATTTCTTCCTGTTGTACGTATCCCTTGATGAAGAGAAAATAGCCTTCACTGTCCCTTCTAATCTTTTTCAAGGTGAAATTAATGTTGTCGGATACTAGTATGGCCACCCCAGCTTTTTTGAGGGAGTTGTATGCTTGCAGGATTGTTTTCCATCCTTTGACTTTGAGTCTGTGTTTGCTCTGGCTGTTGAGGTGAGTTTCTTGTAGGCAGCAGAATGTTGGGTTCTGTCTCTGTATCCATTTTGCCACTCTGTGTCTCTTAACTGGTGAATTTAGACCGTTGACATTGAGAGAGAGAACGGTTATGGGGTTTTGTGTCATCTTTCTGTGCGGGTGTGTTGTGGTTGTAGGGTTTGTCTTTTCTTATAGTAGCCCCTTTAGGCCTTGCTTTAGATTTGGTTTTGAGTCTATGAAGTTCCTGAGCTGCTGTTTATCTATAAAATAGTGTACCGTTCCTTCGATTTTGAGGGAGAGTTTAGCCGGGTAGAGTATTCTTGGGGAAGCATTCATTTCCGTGAGTTTTTTGACTATATCTCGCCACTGCCTTCAGGCTTGTAGGGTTTCCTCTGATAGGTCTGCTGTGAATCTAAGGGATGCTCCTTTGTATGTGATTTCCTTCTTTGCTCTTGCTGCTTGCAGTATTGTGTCTCTATCGGTGGCATCAATCATTCTAACTATGATATGTCTTGGAGTGTTTTTGTTGGGGTCTCTTTTAGCTGGCACCCTTCGGGCTCCTTGAACCTGAATGGCTGCATTGTGCAGCTCTGGGAAGTTTTCAGCAATGATTTGTTTGATGGTGTTTTTTCGTTGGGATTGTTTCCCTGGGGTTCAGGTAGTCCCATGATTCTAATATTGTTCCTCTTGGAGTAATCTGCTAGGACTCTGATTCTCTGTAGAGCCATTTTGAGGTCCCTTG